AAGAAAACCCACCGCAGGGGAAAAACAACAGACAAACACACTATGCGATCCCCTAGCAGATTTACTCCCTTGAAGTGTAAACAAGACAATAACAACCCTTTGGCGGTACCACGGAGAAAGGAGGGCGGCGCTTAAAGATGACAACATTCTCATCCACGGCGCTCAGGAACTTATCGCAGCTGCTTCGGACAGAGGACGATCTCGATAAGGTTGAGTCTCTGAAAGAACAGCTCATCAAGGAGAAGACCGCTATAGATGTGCAGCTCAAGTCGCATACGCAGACCCAGCTGGATAGGATGCTGGAGAGCATGAACTCTCTGACGATGTGTCAGGATGATGTGAAGACGTTGAAAGAGAACGTTGAGCAGCTTGACTCGATCGCTGTCAACAGCTTTGGTGCGATTAGCCGCTATGAGCTGATCAACAAGATCTCGAGGGTGCACGAGGTGTTCACGCAGAGTACAAGGATTGCCGATAAGGTGGCTTCGTTCCACGATGAGCTCAAGGAAATCGACGATATGATCGAAGCTGAGAACTATAACGACATCGACATTGATTCCGAGGTGCCATCTTTGCTATTGATTCATTGGAGATTGAACAAATTTAGAGACTTTCAAGACCAAATCGTGGAGTTGAGTTTGAGATCTAGTGATGATGCACGGTTCACGGTTAAAAGATTGACGTCCAAGACCCAGTTCACGGTGAAGAAGTGGGATACGCTATTGGAGAACATCATTTCAGGGTTGGTTGAGAGCGTCAAGGTTGGTAACCACGGACTCGTTGTGCGGTTTGCCAAAATCATTGAGTATGAAGAGAGACATGACGCTAGAATATCGACGATCAAGGAAGTGTTACAGAAGAACGAAGCAGATGTGCATGCTGGTCTTTTCCAACAAATCGTCAAGGGCTCTCTACAACATCGTGTTTATTCAAGGGATTACAAACAATTCTTCCTGACGAAGCTGAAAGAAAACGTTCATGAAACTTTCCACAACTGTTGGGAGACATTTGCACATAGTAACAACATCTTTGAGATCTTGGATAACTTTGACTGGGTGTTCCAAGATCTCTCGTGTGTTCAACAGGAATTGAGCAAACTTGTACCTCCAAAATGGGATATCTTCAAAACTTACTACGATATCTACTACGCAGAACTTCACCTTTTGATAACAAGATTGATTGAATCCGAACCTGAAACTGCATTCATCATCGATATCCTGGACTTTGACAACAAATTCCAGGAGATTATGGTGAATGAGTTCAAATTCAAAAAATCTGAGGTTGAAAGTATCATAGGTGAAGTTGAAAAGGAACAATTGTTCAAAGATTACCTTAACCTATTGGTTATGATGATTACTGGTTGGATGACAAACCTTTCAAACACTGAACAAGACGTGTTTAGAAACCGTATCACTGCTCCTGAAACCGATTCTGAAAAGCTGTACTTGTTGGAAGGTACCAAAATTGTGTTCCAAATGTTCACTCAACAGTGCGATGCAGCTTCTGGCTCTGGACAAGGTAAGATCTTGGCAGGTGCAATTAAAGAGTTCTCAACATTGCTGATTAAGAGACAACAAGGATGGAGTGAGCTCGTGAAGAGCGAAGTGCATAGGCTGCTCTTGTCTAACAACCCAGAACTAAGACCACCACCAAAGCTCGAAGGTGAAATAGTTGATGATTCAGTTCCACCTGGTTTAATAGAATATTTGACTGCATTGGCAAATGATCAAATGAGAGGTGCAGATTACACGGAAGCCATTTCGAGTAAATACGGTTCGATGGTTAGTAAAAAATACTCATCGCAGATTCATGAAGATTTAGAAAATGTCATTGATGGCTTTGCGAACTTGGCTAAGGAATGTTGTGATGCTCTTATAGTTATGATCTTTGACGATTTGAAAGTTGTCATGAGAAAGATCTTCACAAAAGAATGGCTCAACTCCACTTTTGCTCAACAAATAGCTGATACTTTACTGGAGTATTTGGGAGATTTGAAGCACTCTATGAACTCATACCTTTTTGAAATTCTTTGCGAAGAAGTTGTGGAAGAAACTTTGTTAAAGTATTTGGACAACTTGAACAGCGATGTGAAATTCCCAAAGGATCCAGAGAGATTCTTGGGTGCTGTTAAGCGTGATTTTGAAACTTTCTACAAGTTATTCATCCAATTTCTTTCTCAAGATGTTATTGAGGAGAAATTCAAAATTGTGGAACACTTTATGGACCTGGCTACAGAACAAGACCTGGACCAGATTGCCACCATTTGGGGCTCCACTGTTCAATCTTTCAACGATATCAAGATTGAGTTTTTATCTGCTGTGTTGAAGGCTAGACCGGACGTTGATCATGCAGACGCAAAGTTGGTTGTGCCAAAGGCCAAGGAAGTACAGCAGAGATATCTTACCGACCACCAGTTTGAACTTGCTCAGTCGTTTATGGGCCGTTTCAACTTGAGCAAAAAACTCAAGAAGGATTACTTGTGATTCTACACCATACATAGATGAAAACAAAGACATATATAATGAATCGCACGACATGAATAGTCCATACTCTTTGTTAAAGCTTTATATACGAAACGTTGACTATTATGGTTCCATTCTCAACGGTTTGTTTCACGGTGTAGTTACCATCATTCTTCTCGTCCCATAGAAACCCTAACGAATGTTTGTTGTATGCTTGAGTGTCATTAGATATCAATGTCGCACTCACAATCAGCTTGTAGTCCAAGGTTTTAGGCTTTAGCTCTGTGAGGATGTAGGTGATGAGAGCCTGGGTATCGGTATAATCGTTGTTTGATGACAGAAAAGACGTCACTAGGGATTCAACCTCAGATTGTGAAAATGGCTATATGGTTGTCGTCAGTAAGCGGGCTTCCTAGCAGTTGGTATAAACAAGCACATACAGCTGGCATGGTTTATGGGTGTAGAATAGCGTTTTCCATGAACAGAGGAACCACTTGAACGCGATTGATGAACCTCATAAGGGGACACTTCAAGAGCTCATGGGGCCTATTAATCGGTACGCGACACACTCAAACATTTGTCTCTGCCTTCCCACCCCCAAGATTTCCTGATTGTCCGGGTAACAGAAGTGTAAACAAACCAAAGTCTTGGGCATTTCGGTACGAACACACCCTAGCGCCTCAACCATTTTCTGTTAGGGTAAAGATGGCCCAATGGCTTACAACGGGGACAAAGGGTGTGCAACACCACAGTGATTATTACAGTGACAACTTCTACGCTATGGTGCATAACATCTGATATCCGCCACCACCATTTCCAGGAGCTTCAATAAGAAAAAAGGAAAGATAAACACCCAAAACCTAAGCATATAATTTCGCAAATTTGCAGTGCCAAAAGAGAAGATGCTACCCGCATTCTTTTGACGCTATTTTTCCTTTTTTGGCGTTCCATTGCTCAAAGACGCGTCATGTTTCGTTTCACTTGATTACATCGCTATGGCAATTTCCAGCAAATAGGGTACTGTTTCTCTGTTAAAGCCCTGGAGAAAACAGGCAAAGGCAATTACCCTCGTTCGTGATTCCATTACTCAGAGACAGAAACGCTACCACATCCATTGCGTCCAATGTAAGGAAGCTTCGATGCGCCAAAGAAAAAGCGCAAACAGAGGTGTTTTCATTCTGCCAGGACGCTGATCCCAAGCGTAAATGCCACCCGCAAGTCTCTCAAAGCGGATAGCTTCGTGTCGTTTTCGTGTCGTTTTCGTGTTGTTTTCGTGTTCCAAGCCCGATGCGGGTGAATTTGGCGTGTATCGTTCTGGTTCTGTTTGTTTTTGTTTACGCGAGCCAGCCAATCAGAGCCGACTGCGACGCGAACCAGACGCGAAACAACGCGTCGTGCCGCTGACAAAAGCACCAACCTTTTTGGATATATATAAACATCCGCGTCCGCTTTTGGATATATATAAACATCCGCGTCCGCTGTTTTCCTCTTTCCCTCTCCTCTCTTCTCTCTCTTTTGCTGTGAATAGCAAGCATACACACACACAGACAACAGACTAATACTTACGATGTATGTTTACAAGAGAGATGGGCGCAGAGAGCCTGTCAAGTTCGACAAGATCACGGCGAGAATCTCGAGACTCTGCTACGGGTTGGACCCACAGCACGTCGATGCCGTGAAGATTACACAGAGAATCATCTCTGGTGTCTATGAAGGTGTGACCACCATCGAGCTCGATAACTTGGCTGCTGAGACATGTGCCTATATGACCACTGTCCACCCAGACTATGCTACACTTGCTGCCAGAATCGCCATCTCCAACTTGCACAAACAAACCACGAAGCAATTCAGCGTTGTGATTGAAGAGTTGTACAACTATATCAACCCAAAGACCAATTTGCACGCGCCAATGGTGTCTAAGGAGACTTATGATATTGTCCAAGAGTTCAAGGATGAGTTGAACTCTGCCATTGTCTACGACAGAGACTTCAACTACAACTACTTTGGTTTCAAGACATTGGAGAGATCCTACTTGCTCAGAGTGAACGGCAAAGTTGCCGAGCGTCCACAGCACTTGGTGATGCGTGTGGCCATCGGTATCCACGGTAGAGATATGAAGTCCGTGATTGAAACTTACAACCTGATGTCTGAACGTTACTTCACACACGCTTCTCCAACTTTGTTCAATGCTGGTACTCCAAGCCCACAGATGTCCTCTTGTTTCCTCGTTGCTATGAAGGAAGACTCCATCGAAGGTATCTACGACACCTTGAAGCAATGTGCCTTGATCTCTAAGACCGCTGGTGGTATCGGTTTGCACATTCACAACATCAGAAGTACAGGGTCCTACATCGCTGGTACCAACGGTACCTCTAATGGTTTGATTCCTATGGTCCGTGTCTTTAATAACACTGCAAGATACGTCGACCAAGGTGGTAACAAGAGACCAGGTGCATTTGCCTTGTACCTGGAGCCATGGCACGCAGATATCTTTGATTTCATCGATATCAGAAAGAACCACGGTAAGGAAGAGATCAGAGCTCGTGATTTGTTCCCAGCCTTGTGGATTCCAGATCTGTTCATGAAGCGTGTTGAACAGAACGGTGAATGGACTTTATTCTCTCCAAATGAGGCTACTGGCTTGGCTGATGCATATGGTGATGAATTTGAAGCATTGTATACAAAGTACGAACAAGAAGGTAAAGGAAGAAAGACTGTGAAGGCTCAAAAGCTCTGGTATGCGATCTTGGAGGCACAGACTGAAACTGGTACACCATTCATGCTTTATAAAGATGCTTGTAACAAAAAGTCCAATCAGAAGAACTTGGGTATCATCAAGTCTTCGAACTTGTGTTGTGAGATTGTCGAGTACTCTTCTCCAGACGAGGTTGCTGTTTGTAACTTGGCATCCATTGCCCTTCCAGCTTTCATTGAGAAGTCGGTTGATGGTTTGACCCAAACTTATAACTTCCAAAAGTTGCACGATATTGCCAAGGTGCTTACAAAGAACTTGAACAGAATCATCGACAGAAATTACTACCCAGTTCCAGAAGCTCGTGCTTCTAACATGAGAAACAGACCAATTGCCCTTGGTGTCCAAGGCCTTGCGGATGCCTTCATGATGTTACGTATGCCTTTTGAGTCTGATGCTGCTAAAGAGTTGAACATCCAAATCTTTGAAACTATCTACCACGGAGCTGTCGAGGCCTCTGTTGAGTTGGCTCAAGCTGAAGGTGCCTACGAATCCTTCCCAGGCTCTCCAGCTTCTCAGGGCCAATTGCAATTTGACCTCTGGGGTCGTAAGCCAACTGACTTGTGGGATTGGGACTCATTGAAGGCTGACATTTCCAAGTATGGTATGAGAAACTCTCTTTTGGTTGCACCAATGCCAACTGCCTCTACATCTCAAATCTTGGGTTACAACGAATGTTTTGAGCCATACACTTCTAATATCTACTCTCGTCGTGTTCTTGCCGGTGAATTCCAGATTGTGAACCCATACTTGCTGCGTGATTTGGTTGACTTGGGTATCTGGGATGACGCAATGAAGAACCACATCATATCCGACAACGGTTCCATCCAAAACTTGCCAAACATTCCAAAGCAATTGAAGGACTTGTACAAGACCGTATGGGAAATCTCTCAAAAGACCATCATTGATATGGCTGCCGATCGTGCTGCTTACATCGACCAATCTCAATCTTTGAACATTCATATCAGAGCCCCAACCATGGGTAAACTCACGTCGATGCACTTCTACGGCTGGAAGAAGGGCTTGAAGACCGGTATGTACTACTTGAGAACACAAGCCGCATCTGCTGCTATTCAATTCACAGTCGATGCCTCTGTCGCTGCCAACGCTGCTTTGAACAAGGTTGACATGGCGAAGTTGAAGCGTGCCCAGTACATTGCACCAAACACATCTCACATTCCAAGCTCCCGGGAATCAAGCGTCAGCGCTGCTGATATCGACACCACAACCACATCTGTTGCCTCTCTCACAATAGAGAATGACGATAAGCCACTGCCGGTTCCAGTTCCTGCTGCTGAGCCAAAAGAAGCTGAGCCTGCTGCTGCTGCTGCTGCTGCTGCCTCCACAACCTCTGATGAGACTGACGCTGACATCTTCAGTTCAAAGGTCATTGCGTGTGCCATCAACAACCCTGAGGCCTGCGAGATGTGTTCCGGCTGATCACAACACGCTGCTTCTGGAGGGTTCTTTCGTTAACGGTTTTGTTCTTAATAGATGAATTTGCTTTATATATAATTCAATTGTCTTCGTAGCCTGCTGTGTCTTATTCCCGCAAATCCCGCTAAAGCCGAGATGCCCCTTGTCCACGACGATGCCGAGCTCTCTACAGAAACATGGGTGAGAACCAATTCTTTAGCTGTTGAGCTGGTTTGGCCTTTGACACTTCAACCAATTCTGTCATTGATTGCACGTCTCGCTTGTTGTTGTTGTGTGTGCGTCCTCCATCTTAACGTCGAACAATGGATGAAGAAGCATTGGGCTCGCCTCTCTTAGGGCCTGCCGGCTTCCACGAGAGCCCATCTCGTAGATCGTTATGGGATTGGTTGAACGGTCCGCCAGTCCCCAGTGATGATCCTCCAAGGGTAACGAATACACTGCTTGTGCCCCTGGAGCTGTTTCCAAGCCAGCTGAAGATGAGGTACCCATATCGAATCCGAGCACTGTTCCTGTGTGCCTATATCGTGATCTGGTTCATGATGAACTATGCCATTATGTACCCTCATCTGATTCGAGGACCACATCTTGACGACGAGCGTATTGTGACGTTGAGCTGTACAGGCGATGGCTACTTCTGGCGTGGTAAGAACCAGGCCTGTGGGCTGCTGGGGAGAGACTGTGTGCCCGAGAGAGGCGAAGAGGTCATCATCAAGTGCCCTGCGCTCTGTGATAGAGGCTGGTCGTACGCTGCGAGACCCGTGGGCACTGAAATGGTGAAATATAGGCAGTATGTCATTGGTGGTGGTGAGTCCAGTGAAAAGTCACCCTTGACTAACCCGTATAGAGGAGACTCGTATCCGTGCTCGAGTGCTGTTCATGGAGGTGTGCTTTCGCCTTTCTCTGGAGGATGTGTTAAGATCAAATTCACGGGCGTGGGACTCTCATTTGAATCCAAGAAGGGGCCTCATGGCACCAATTGGTCTGTTGGCTTCCCTTCTTTCTTCCCAAGTAGTTTTGTCTTTGAGCCGTTGAATGAGTCGATTTCCGGGTGCCACGATCCAAGGTTTATCATCCTCATCCTCAACATTCTACTCGGTGCTCCAGTGATGTACTTGGCTGGTGGCCTTGTTGGATACTGGACATCCTTGGTGGCTGGTTTCTGGACCATCTTGCTCGTTCTAGACCCTCCGTTCATCGTGAACTCAGACGAGGACACTGCACAGCTCATCTCCAATGGCTTTGCTAAGTTCTTGCCTCTCTGTTTCGTTCTACATGTTCTTTGGACTGCTGGCTGTAAACGGACGCTAACAGATGGCAGTCCATTGGCCAAGCTTCTCCTGTGGTATCCTCTGTTCTGGGTTGGCAGTGCCAACGTCATCACCTTTGATCGCATTCCAATTGACAGAATGCGAATCGACGACATCAAGCAGATGCCAGGCTCAGTGCTGGCCATCATCGTCGTCATCCCCCTGATCATCGCATGTGTTGCTCTCCAGGCTTTCCAGATATGGAAGGCTGGCAAGCTCATCAAGTACGCAAAGGCCTACGTGACGATCATTGTGGGCCTCGCAGTGCTATCAACGCTTCCGAACCTGGGCCTTAGAATCCACCACTATATGATTGGAATGCTGTTGGTGCCTGGAACAGGCACCAGAGGCATCACCGCATACCCTCTACAGGGCCTTTTACTGGGGCTTCTACTATCAGGAGTCGCTAGATGGGACTTCGCCTCCGTTGTGGAGACTGAGGTGAGCCTACTGCGTGGTGAAGCCGGTACATCTTCAGCTCCACCACCAGGGTTCCAGTTCAACGGAACACACGTTCTATGGGACGTACCAGAGCATCCACCAAGCAACTTGCCAGGCTACTCGTTAATCGTGAACGACGTTGAGTTCTGGGTTGGCGAAGACACCAGCTTCAATGTTGAGAGATTCCTCAAGCATGCGGATGTGGTGTTCTTCCGTGTTGCTCTGAGTGCGTTACACGGTGATGATAGAGGTGATTATACACGAGCTGCCACTATCATCAATGGAACATGGATTCCACCAGAGGATGGTGTGAGTTGAAGCTGAGCATGGCTGTTTGACGGTGAGCTAGGGGACCGTTGATAGCGAATATTGGTAGCGAATATTGATAGCAAATATTGGTAGCGAATATCGATAGCAAGGACGAAGAGATGATGTTTTTATGTAAAACTAAGGGAATTTTAAATACAATGCACTGCTTTTTGTTTGCTGTTCACTGACGTGGTAATGTACTGTGTCCATTCAGGTTTGAACTGCTGAAGTTATTTGGGTGGTTAGTAGTACTTGCTGGAACATGGCCACCACTAGCGGAGCGAGGAGCTACTGGAATCGTAGCGTAGTTTGGAGAAGCACCCAAGGCAGCTGATAAGGGCATCGATGATTTCCTGTTCTTCCTTGAGGTTGGTTTGAACTGATGGGATGATAAATCGGCTGGGATTCCCGTGTAGATATCTGTTGTTGTCGCACGACGTGGGAACCCAGGTTGTTGTAGTTGCTGTGGCTGTTGCTGATGCTGATGCTGTTGCTGGGGAGGCTGCTGCTGTTGTTGTTGTTGTTGTTGTAAATGAAGGTGAAGTTGTTGTGAACTGTGCTGGTGCTGCAACGGGTGATGTTGAGCATGTGGCTGATGATGCTGCGGAGGCTGTTGAGGCCTCATCTTTGGCATCACAGGTGCTTGTAGTTGTTGAGGAAATCTATTATGCTGTTGCAAATTGAACTGGGATAGCTTCCGATTCAACTCTTGTTCCTTTGACGCCAAAGCAGCCTCCTTCTTGTGCAATTCTATCTCCCTTGCTGACAAGTCGCCGCCATTTAATATTGGAGATTGCGAACCTGAAGACGATGAATGTGGGAGAGGCGGAGGCGGGCCTTGTGGAATTGCTGGTGATGGAGGCTGTACAGGATCCATAGATGCGGATATTAAGGCAACATCTGTCAAATCACGTAGATCGGGAGTGCCATTGTCGGAAACGTCTGCACTTCTTTGGACAAATGTCGAAGTAGAGACTGGAGTGACTTCATAGGTTGAAGAAGCCGGTGTTGAAGTCTTGACTTCATTTTTAGCTCTTAACAATTCCACCTGGTGATGTTGAGCTTGTTGTTCCAGTTTATTGATTTGTAACTTCAACTGCTGAATCTGCTGTTCTGAAGATGATAGCAATCTCGACTTATTCTGGTACGCCTGTTGCAACTGTTGATGTTCACCTCTTAACGAATCTACCGAAGACAATGATCTTTCACGCTCATCCAATCTCAGCTGGAGTTGTTCATTCTGTTTCAACAACGTCTTATATTCGGAAGCGTGTTGAGCCAACGAATTCTTCATCTTATTCAATTCATTCTTCAGCTCAGAATCGTTGACACCATCGTTTCTCTTGAAGAACAGCGACGGCTTGGTGTTGAACTTGTTAAACTCACAGATGGTTGCATACAGGAACTCCAGGTATGGAGTCTTGATGCTATGGTCATCTGCCAATAGAATAGGCTGTAGCAAGAGCATATCGACTTGTAAGTCATTCTTGTGGTAGAAATTGTAAAACAACTCTGGCGAGTTCGCATACCTTGGCTTGGTATCTGTATTGGTCGAATCCTTATACCAAGAGCTCCACAACTTCAGCAAGCTGGACTCACTATCGTAGCCAGCTGGTAATTTACAACCCATGGTCTTCGCCACGGTAATCATCTCGGTAATCAACCCACTCAGGAGTGGTTTGGCCAAGATCTGGTTCGTCAACAGCTGTGGCACCGGCTCTTCAAACATTATCAACAGTGGGTCAAAGCATATACGCGGAAGAGCCAACTTCCACTGCTCAACCAAGAACTCCAAATGCGTCTGTTTGGTGATCACCTCAACCGAGTCAACCTTCAGCAGCGTTGCCAACGCGTTCAGGTCCGTCTGTAGTCTCTGCGGGTACTTGGCATTCAGCGTACCCGACTGTCCTATAAAGATCTTCTTCTCGCCCTTCATGGCAAACTCGTTTCTCGTTCCAAGCGAGCGCACATCCAGCGGTGTCATGAGAGAGAACACAGGAGGCTTCTGGGTCAAGCAGTTCTTCACAAAGGGCTCCAGATTGACAAACCCGGTGGACTCCACGAGAACAATCGTCGTCTTGCCGAGATACGGTGCCAATTGCGCAGACAGCGTTGACATCTGTTGCAACGAGCCAGCACTTATAATCACAACGTCGAACTCCACCTTCGCCACGTTGTCCAGCGAGTTGTGGATGAACTGCGGGTCGAAATAGTCATCGTTCAGCTTCACCTTCTCGTTGATCGCCAGCGTGCTGTTCACCAGGTGGATCGTGAACTTGTCGGTTCTCTGGAATTGCAACGTGTAAAACAGCAACCTCGGGTTGTCGCCGACAGCCAATAACGTCAACGGCGTCATGATCGGGCAGCCAGCAGTGGGGGAGACGTGTTCAACCAGGCTTTGCCTCAGCAATAAAACGGATTCGATGAGCGGTGATGAAACGGGCTCACGGGCTCACGGGGACAAGCTGAGCAGGGAAAGCCAACCAAAAAAAGGCGCCTTCAGCGGTGGAAACGGGAGAGCACAGCACAACCGTGGAGATGGGCACACACGGGCAACTTCGCTCACAGCAAAGGCAGAGGAAGGGGGAAAGCGCAGCGGGAAAGGAACCAGTGGAAGCAATGGAAGTTATACCGCCACACAAGACACAGCGCTTAGTTCAAAAGGAAGACACAAGCAGCACTGGGCACAATGAGCACACTAACACACACAAGCAAACAAAATAAAACGGGCAGTGAAGAAGCGGCGGCTTGCGAATTGAGCGCTCGTCGTCGTGGAGAAACAGCGAGAGAAACAACGAGGGAAAAAGTACGAGAAATGGGCCTTTTCGCTGCGAAAAGTTGCTGTTGATCGAGAAATTTTCGTTGATTTGTGTGTGTTTTTGTGTGTTTTTCATGTATTTTCGTTCAAATCCGAAGGGGAAAAGTTTTTTTTGGCTTCTTTTGCAGCGTATTTTGTTTGTTTTTGGGCATTTGCCGGCCCGTTTTCACCAAGCGTTCCGAGTCTCCAGGGCGAAGAGTTGAGGAGTTTTGGTGTGAAATGGGGGTTGCGTGCAGTTTTAGCGGGGTTGCTTGGGCTGGTGGCCCCGTTGTTTAGGCTGGGTGGCTCTGTTGTTTAGGCTGGGCGGCTCTGTTGTTTAGGCTGGGTGGCTCTGTTGTTTAGGCTGGTGGCCCGTTACCGAGCCTAGCGGCCCAGCTCCTCCGCGTGGACAGCTGGTTTCGCCCGAGCGCACGCTCTGCGCTCTGCCCGTAACTTCATTGCTGGGCTGAGCTCGCGGTAAATACGGTGCTTGAGCGCATTAAATTTTGATGTTTGCCTTCAAACAATGCTTACGTCACGTACGCACGCGTACGTGTCAGAGCTCGTGAGTTCGCTGTGTGCTTCTCGCTACGCCGTCGTGGCTGCCAGCAGGCCCAGGTTGGAATCCCCCGGTTGTAGCGACGTTGTAATATATGTTTTATCAGCAATGGCCTCTGTGTGGCACGATGCTGTGCCCGGGTGCGAGTTGAGCCTATAGATCACGACAGTAGGATGGTCTTTAAGTCAGTGTAACAGTATAGGAAATGTAAGGTGAAAAGGGTGTTTCATAAGAGCTTGGAGGAGGGAATTCAATGGCTCGAAGAGGAACTCTGAAGCCATTGTAAAACACGCAAATCTCGATATCGCGTGATGCTACTAATTCTCCCGAATATAAAGAGAGCGTGCCGGAGCGTTGGTAAGAGCGTGGTGGTTTGACGAGGAAGTTCCATAGAAACATCCTTCATCAAATCGATGGTGTATTCGGGATTAATTCCGCAGGTTGAATCTCACGCTTGGAAGGCCTTCACGCCGCCAGCTCTCCAGCTGGTTTACATTTGCAGAACAATGGAGGTGTGGTTCCGCTGCTGCTCCATGGCGCACACGGGTGGCGTACTGTGAGATCTGTCTTGAGCGACGAGTACGGTTGCCAGTGCACACGTTTCCAGGGCCGTGTAGTGCTTTGTTATTGACGGAGACGAGCTGGAGCGTACACACGTAGAGGGTAGCGATACGCTTGGGATGAGCTTCTGGGAATCATTGTCGAGCGATGCGTTGGCATTGGTGGAATGCGAGCAAACTGAGCTCTGAAACAGCCAGTGGATCAGCGATGCACTGGGATGCATAGGCGTGTTTCAAGGCCACCGTCGGGTTGGCAGATCACAGCAGCGAATGTAGTTTTAGCCGAGATGTCAATTGAGCGATACTGGGAGTGTGTTGTATGGATATGTGGATTCCATGACGTGGTAGTAGGTGGTTGTACAGCGTTTCGGGTAGGCCTTTTTTCCCGTGAACCGCACGATAAACTACCGATACAGCCATTCCAATGGGTTGGAGCAGAGGTTGGAGCAGAGGTTAAAGCACATGCTAAAGCACAAATTCTATTGAAACTGAGAGGCTACGCTGGGTGCTTGAGACCCGAGGCATGTCTATCTCTCAGAGAACGGCCCTCACCACACGCCAGGCCCACTGAAATCCTTTTGGAAGCTGATTCCAGATAAGCCGACGTATGAAGCTCACGACAGTAAGTAGCCCAATATGGCATAAACCACACGCATTCTGGAGTTATCAAGACACCAGAAGCCCTGGCTACCAGTGTTCTGTCACCAAAATCAGCCTACATGAATATAAATACCGGCACTGGTGGGTCCCTTAAGGGCTCCTCCATAGCGACATATCCCAACTACGACTCAATTGGAAGGAAACGACATCTACACGGAGCAACAGTGTACTCAGGACCACACACGAGCTTCAGAACGTTCTCACAGACCACTCCAGACACCATCTCGGTGTCCATCGCGCTGAATCCTCGCAACAATGTGGTTCTCTGACACATCTGCACGCACATGCAAGGAATGTATATCAAAGCGATTGTCTATTGTTATAGCAGAACATTAACATAGATTAGGGTAGTACGATATGGCTCTGTAGCACCAATTAACACAGCAAAACATGTGTTGTTGAAGTATATATGCTTACAAGTTGTTTATATTAGCCAGGACTGGATACTTCTAATGTTTTTTCTCAACATCAGATATTTCACTCTTATATTAAATATTCAGAAAGGGAAAACAAGGTGTCTAATTTCCCCATAATATTATCCCAAACAATTCACGACAATGTGCTACTCAAGCAGCACAGCACTTAACCAACATTATATATCCAATATTCTATATCAACGCAGCAATTACACCTACAATTACAACAACCACTCGGTTCAATTGGCTCACTAACTCATACTTAACATCACAACAGCACCACCACCCAATTGGCCAATGAGAAGCCGCATCGAAGCCACGCAAAGTCCAAACACCCGGGAGGGAATGTGCTTTTCCCATCAAACAGCCATAAAACAGCCGCAGACTCACACGTCGTCTTTCCCTCCTCTGTCAATTTGCCCATCTCGGCAATCCCGACGCGTCGCGTCCCGTCAAGAAACACCCACCAAGGCCCAGGAATGATGATGTGCACACTCTCAGAACCAAAATGGACACACTAAACCACCCCAATTGGAAACACACAGCGTGGCCTAAGCACCAGTACCCTCCAAATAGCAGAAAAAACCCCATCATCAATGCTTTAAAACACCAACTTGTACCCAAATTCCTACTTCATTGCTGAAAAGTTTTCGCGTTTTTTTTCGCGTTTTTACCCAATTCGTACAGACGCGTCCCGATTGGGGTATGAGGAAAATTAACGCACACCATTTCTGGTCCGATTGGGCATGGAAATTACGAGCAGCTAAATTACACACAGTTTCCTTCTTCCTTCGTCCTCTTCTTTGCAATCTTTGCGAATACTCCTTGTCCTTTGTCCCCTTCCACCTCCCCTTCCACTCGCCAAAGGTCTATCTGCTACAACATGAGCTCACCACCTGCTATGCCATTCACTTCAATGCTGTCGTCGTCTCCGATGAAGGGGTTCAGCTATTACTTCCCGCAAGACCCAGAGACCGATTTCCTGTCTCCCGGTAACACTGGGCTATCGCATCTTGTCATTGGAGGACACAACGCTCCAGGGAGCGTTGCTGGTGAGTTCAGCGAGAACTATGAGGAGCTTGCTCTTCAGCAGCCGGTGAAGATCTCAGTTGATGCCATTTCCGAACAAGAGAACCTGTTCCCAGCAATGCACGCTTTCCACAACAACATTCCTCAATCGCAATCGCTGCAGTCGATGGACTCTGTGCCGTTCTTGTCAGCTTCGACCTCTGAGCAGTCCTTAGGCTCGGGCTCGTTCTACCAGACCCCGTCTAAGGTTCGAAGATTGAGTGCTACACTGACCCCAATGACTCAGATCTACGAAAGCCCTGAGCAGAGGAAGAACCCTTCGCCCGTATCGTCCACGAAGAACACCTTGAGAACACCAAGAATGAGACTGCACAAGCGTACGAAGAGTAGGCTCAGTCTCGATGCCAGTGGATGTGCAGCCATTGTTACAGAGAGGAAATCACCGGGGACTAATCCGTTCTACAACGCATTTGCTTCTCCAAACCAGTATACACCGCTACAGACTCCTCTGCGTGATCAGCTGGTGTCACCAAGCGTGACAATGACGAGCTCGTCCTCGTTGCAAAATATTCAACAGCATGCTCATTTCCCTCATTTTGTCCAGCCTCCACAGCCTTTGAGGTCGGTATCGATGCAATCATTGACACAGCAGCAACAGCAGCAACAACAGCATCATCTTCCACATCAGCCTCTCAGATCTGTGTCGATGAATGCAATCTCCACTGGACAGCACATGTCGTTGGGCATGCCATTCCCAGAATCACAGGCTGTACAGCATCACATGACGAGGTCGCAAAGCTCTGTGAATCTGGCTACTATCGCTGCTAGTGCAACACCACCTCCAGAGATCACCAAGTTCGACATCTTGGAGCCTCGTCGTAACAAGGCCTCCAAGATCCCATGTGATAAGAAGCAGCACGTCTGTCCACTGTGTGGAGGCGTGTTCCAAAGGCCTGAACATGTCAAGAGACACATGAGATCCCATTCGAGTGAGAAACCGTTTGAATGCGATGAGTGTGGGAAGAAGTTCAATAGGCCAGATAATCTGAGGGCTCATGGGAGAAAGATACACGGGAAACACCATTGATTGGCGTAGTATGAATACAAAAGACTTTTATCTTCTATTCTTCATAGTAGTTCATTAATATAAATAGATAACATTAAAAGGAGAGTCGGATGATACCAGGACACACCTTCAAAGAACATCATTCTAACTTATCGTAGAGTGCCTGTAGGTCATAGTTCTCCCTCCAGTAACGACCTCTCTTCTTCAAGATGTACAGCACCACGCTCCATAGAACAACAACGCCAGCACACATTGAAAGCATCGGTCCAACACCCATACCAGTGATCATCGGATCAACAAGGAAGACAGCAGCAGTAGCCATGGTCTGTCTGCACAAGTTATTCACAGCAACTCCAGTGGCACCTCTTCCAGGCAGCGAATCAACCAAGTACGTCACTGTAGGACCAATGGTCATCATGGTTGCGTATCCAAAGAGTGTAGTCCCGATCAACGGCGTAACCCAGAAGGTATGGAAATGGAAACACCAGCCAATGATCAGCAGAGCAATTGGATAGCAGACGACAGCACTAACCATGTTATAGGAGATTCTCGCTTCTGCAGCTCCAAACCCATGTTTCTTGATATAATCACGAAGCAGCTTATCTGTCCATTTACCTCCATAGATGGACGCAATGATATATGCCACGGAATTTGGAATATACGCCAGACCAACGTACAGAGACCCCCAGTTATACGGTGATCTGGAGAACTCGTACTCCAACGTCATGTTCACCAGGTATAGCGTTGCAAAGGTCAGCGACGAGAACGACACTGATAAAGACACTGGTGGATACTGCAGAAAGTACACAGCTTTCAGAGGCCTTATGCCAATCTCGTAGAAGTTCTTCTTGAACAATGCCCACTTGGAGGCGTGGAGATCGTTGATGCTCTCTTCCAGCCTCGTCCCCATACGTCTGAGATCGGCCTCTTCCGTTTCCTTTAGCTGTACTGGATCAACACACTCTTCATTGCCATAGAGAGATTCAACATTGCCCTGTTCTGTTGCTCTTGACACTCTCGAAGAGATCCGACTTATAGCGTTCTCCTCGTCTTCTGTCTTGGAGGAGTCGTCAGCCTCTTTATTCAGACGTCTTTCCTCCAGCACCTTGGCTATGGCCTCCCTTGTGATCTGCTCACGAAGTGTTTCCGGCAGGAAGAAGATCAGAAGCATGTCGAGCACTGCAGCCAACGCCATACAAAACCACTGAGTTGATCTCCAGTCCCAGGATATCAGCAAAAGAGAGCCAACTATGGGGCTGATGAGCGGACTCACCAGGGATCCCAGGTAGAAGTAGCCCATCGCACGTCCTCTCTGCTCCGGCACGAACAAGTCAGAGATGGTACCAGCACCAACGGCCTGAACACTAGCAGAGCACGCACCTGTGAGCACTCTAAACACTATGAGCATCTGAATGGAAGAAGACAAGGCCGCACCTATGGCGAATCCGATGTACATGGAGAAGCTCAAGATATACACGCTTCTCCGTCCTATTCGCTCACTGAAGTTGGACCACCACAGTGGGAACACACCAAGCGATAACAGGTAGATACCAACAGAGACGTTCACCATGGACGTTGTTGTGTTCAAGTCCTCTGTCATGTCTCCAATCGCAGGGAACACGATCGACGTGCCCATCGGGCCTATCAGACCAGCAACAGCTATGATAAACACTATGAAGCTCTTCAGAGCCATGGGATAATCCCTGGCGTCTCTGAACTCTGGCACCAGTGTCAGCTGGGCCAGCAGGCCTCTTCTCTCCTTCCTTGGACGCTGGAGCGTCTTATCCGACAGCGTGGACGCCGTGGTCTTGGTCTTCGCCAACGCTACGGGCTCCACGTTGTGGTCACCAGCAGGCTCCACCTTGGAGACTATGGGCACAGGTATATGTCTGTCATTGATGCTGTGCTCGTGCGACGAGGGCAGCGATGATATTGACGACACGGGCGAAAGCTCTTCTGTCTCAGCACTCATATTTGTTCAGCAACTAACGATGTACTTTACTTATCACGAACCAGCAACAGGCAGAACGGGGGGTCTTGTCGCTCAAAAGAGCCATCCGAAGCCAACTTATATACTTTACCAGCACCTGTTACCCACAAGTTAGAGAGGGATGTAGTGGGTGATGATTGTCGGAAGCATGCACCCGGCGCCGTGGTGTCCTGATGTCACACCGGAGCGCCCTCGGATCTCGTCCCCGGTCCTCACTCACCCCCGGATCTCGTTCCCCCGGTGCCGGCGCTGCAAAAAGGCCGTAACCGCAGCAACGACTCCTCACACCGGTCCGCGCAGCACCAACGGCATCAAACCGGTGTCGGGGCGTGTGCGTACCAAGCAGATTCTCACTACAAAACTCTTCAAAATGCCACACGCAACACCACAACCGGTGCGCTGCTGCTGTGGTTGTGGATCGAACAGTACGACTCAGCTGTTGGTGGAAAGGGCATTCCTGTAACGTCGGTGTACCTCCATCTGTGTGTCATTGGCCGCGTGTGTAAAAATTTGCTTCTTTTGGCTCTCGTGGGATTCCTTTGCAAGCTTTGTATCAAGAGATGGACTCAGTTAAGGAGACGAGCACTGTGGACGAGGAGGTGGAGTTCTCAACCTCTATAATACGTACGATGACCAACGACTCGATTTCGATCACGACGTCCTCGGTGACCAAGGAGATCGACGTGGATTGCCACGATAGCTCGCTGCCGGTGGTGAAAGTGCTGGGTACTGGAGGTACCATTGCTGCGAAGAACAGCTCTAACACCAAGACATACGGGTACAAGGTTGACTTGACCATTGAGGACCTGATCCACTCTGTTCCAGGGCTCTCGCAGATTGCTCACCTGAAGTACCAGCAGATTGTGAATTTGGACTCGAAGGAGTTAAACGCAACGCATTTGTTGCTGATTCACCGTGAGATCAAGAGATCGTATGAACAGGAAGGTATCAAGAGGTTTGTCATCACGCACGGAACCGACTCTCTGGAGGAGACTGCGTTCTTTTTGGAAATGACCATTAGCCACCCGGATATCGTCATTGTCATGACAGGCTCAATGCGTCCTTCGTCCTCTATATCGGCTGACGGCTCCTTCAACTTGTACCAGGCCGTCACAGTTGCAGCCAACCCGGAGTCTCATGGTCGTGGTGTATTGGTTGTGCTCAACGACTCTATAGGGTCAGGTTTCTACATCACAAAGTCCAATGCCAACACATTGGACACTTTCAAATCTGTTGGTCAAGGTTATCTTGGCCAGTTTGTTTACAACAACGTGAACTTTTACTATCCTCGCTCAAGACCTTCAACACTCTTCATCGATATCGACTCTGACAAGCTTACACAGAATTTGCAGTTCTCTGCGGATCCGATCTCTGCAAAGAGACGCTATGAGCTTCCAGAAGTGTCAATCTTGTACAACTGCCAAGGATTCAACCCAAGATTGATCGAATTGGTTGTTGAACAGATGGATGTGAAGGCCCTTGTTCTTGCCACTTCTGGTGCCGGTTCGCTCTCGGACGAGACTAACGAGGTCTTGAAGTACGTATGGCATAAGTACCACATTCCAGTGGTTTATTCAAAGAGATCTCAAGAGGGATGTGTATCTGCTGCTAATTTGCCAAAGATTGACCAAGGTAAGCCATTCGAAGGTGCAATTGCTGGTGGTTACCTCAACCCGCAAAAGTGTAAATTACTCTTGCAATTAACTCTGCACAAGGGTTACTCTATCAAGGAGATCAAGGATGCCTTCAGCTCTCAAGGTATATACGGTGGTGGTCAATGAAAGAAGTATTTAATGCATTTTTTTTTTTTTTTTTTGCTGATGTATATATACAGTTATCGCATAGACTATTTAAAAGGAATCTAACGGCCATCAAAGCCCTCAATATTACCGAGAACTCTTACAATTGCCACCTCCGTAGTGGCGAGAAGAGAGGTGACACCAGCAGCGTTCACCAATGAGCTCTTAACGGTGTTGAATGGATCAACAATTCCAGCTTCGTACATGTCGACGACTTCACCGGTGCGGGCATTGACACCAAAGCTGAAATCCCCGTCAGCAATCTTCGATTTGAGAGATGAGAGGTCGAGACCTCCATTGCTCAAGATCCTCTCAAATGGTGCACTCAGGGCCTTCTGGACGATCTCAATGCCAACTTTGGTATCGAATGAGATGTCATCAGCTTTGAGATGATCGAGCACCTTAGAGGCTTTATAGAGAGCAATGCCACCTCCAGGGACAATACCACCTTTCAATGCGGAATATGTTGATCCCAGAGCATCGTCCAGCCTGTCCTTCTTCTCCTTAACCTCCAATTGAGATCCACCTCCAACACGAACAACAGCAGCACCTGAGGTCAACTTGGCAAGACGCTCGTTCAGCTGTTGTCTGTCGCCAACAGCTAATGATTGATCTTCTAATCTGGCTCTGATGATTTCAACACGCTCAGCAATTCTGGAAGGATCGCCCTTACCATCAACAATCACAGTTTCTGTTGGAGAAATAGTCACTGATGATGCACTTCCAAAGACTTCTTTAGAGGCAGTACTGGCCACCAGACCTTGGTCCCTATCTACCAGCGTTGCACCAGTAGCAGCTTCCAAATCCCCGAAATAGTCTGCCCTGGCATCACCAAAGCCAGGAGGACGAACACCAACAACGTTCACCTGGCCTCTAAGCTTATTCAGCAATGCAATAGCCATGGCATCTCCACCAAAGTCATCTGCAATGACCAGCAGTGGTCTTCCCTCACGCTGAGCGTGAGACAGTGCAGGAAGTATGTGTTGTGAGTTTCTCAATTCACCCTTTTGCAGCAAGATCAACGGATTCACAAGCTCAACTTTGGCACTTGGATTCTTCACATCACCAAAATTTGCGTTGATGAACCCTTCGTTGAAGCGAAGACCCCTTTTCACCTCCAGCTCATCTACAAGCTTACTGCCACTTTCAACAGTGATTATACCATCTTTACCAACCTCCTGGATCGCATCAGAGATCAGGGAACCCAGTTTCTCATCACCATTACAACTGATCACGGCAACTTGTTTCAGCTCATCACCTTCAGTGACAGGTCTCTTCAGCGACTCCAGATGCTCCACAACAGCTGTAGTGGCTAGCATGACACCTCGTCTAATGGCGTTCGCATCACAGCCGGAACTCACCTTCTTGATGGATTCATTCAGAATTACGTACGCAAGCACCGTACTACTGGTGGTACCGTCCCCGGATTCTGAGTTGGCCTTTTGAGTGATATCCTTCAGCAGCTCAGCACCGAGGCTCTCAAACTTGTCGGACAGCCCGACATCCTCCGCAATCGACACACCATCCTTGGTGATCTTGGGCATGTTGTACACCTGCTCTATGAGCGCATTACGCCCACTTGGTCCCAATGAAATGGCGACGGCGTCGTGGAGCTTGGACGCACCTCTCAAGATAGACAGACGGGCATCGTTACCGAACTTGAGCTCGTTATGGACAGTCTTGATCCCTCTCGTCAGAGTTCTGTATTTCAGCATCGGCCAGTGTTCCTCACCGCAGACTTACACCCAGAATATGGGCAGAAGCGTCCGTTAATTAGTAATTGACGTCGTAGTGGTAGTTAGCCATTCCCTCGAGAGAGTGCTGTTCGGCGCTGGTTTCCGATGCCAGGGGCCGAAAGCGGAAATCAATTCCGACACGGCCGGGTAACCTCATCGCTTACGTAATTTTTTTTTCTTTCCTTTTTTTTTTCGTACCTCTGCGCTGCAGAAAAATTTTATGCCTCATCAAAACTCCTCTGCTTTACAAACTGTTCAACAGAGAAGCGAGCAGAACCCTCACGTTGACGCCGATAGGAGAGTAGGAACAATGCAACTGACATGGAAGGACATCCCAACTGTTCCAACGTCCAACGACATGTTGGACATTGTGCTCAATAGAACGCAGAGAAAGACGCCGACGGTGATCCGTCCGGGCTTCTCTATCCAGAGAATCAGGGCGTTTTATATGAGAAAGGTGAAGTTCACAGCTGAAGGGTTTGAGGAGAAGTTCGACGACATCTTGAAAGGTTTTCCTAAGATTGATGATGTGCATCCTTTCCACAGGGATCTGATGGACACTTTGTACGAGAAGAACCACTACAAGGTGTCTCTTGCTGCTGTTTCCAGGGCCAGAACCTTGATTGAACAGGTTTCAAGAGACTACATCAGACTGCTGAAGTTTGGTCAGTCGCTCTTCCAGTGTAAGCAGCTGAAGAGAGCTGCGCTCGGTAGAATGGCCACTATCATGAAGAAGCTCAAGGACCCATTTGCGTACCTTGAACAGGTTAGACAGCATCTGGGTCGTCTGCCATCTATCGACCCAAACACCAGAACTCTGTTGATTTGCGGTTATCCTAACGTCGGTAAGTCCTCTTTCCTTCGTTGTATCACAAAGGCAGACGTCGAGGTGCAACCATATGCCTTCACAACCAAGTCTTTGTATGTTGGTCACTTTGATTACAAGTACTTGAGATTCCAGGCCATTGATACGCCAGGTATCTTGGATAGACCTACAGAGGAGATGAACAACATTGAAATGCAGTCCATCTACGCTATTGCACACTTGCGTTCAACTGTGCTTTACTTTATGGATATCTCTGAACAGTGTGGTTTCTCCATCGAAGCACAAGTCAAACTCTTCCATTCCATCAAGCCATTGTTTGCCAACAAGTCTGTTCTTGTCGTGATAAACAAGACCGATATCCTTAAGCCAGAGGACTTGGACCCAGAACGTCAAGAGTTGTTGAAGACATTGACCACGGTTCCAGGCGTTGAAATCATGACTGCTTCTTGTCATGAAGAGGACAATGTCATGCAGGTTAGAAACAAGGCCTGTGAGAAGCTGTTGGCCTCCAGAATCGAGCAGAAGTTGAAGGGTACTGCCCGTGTCAACAACGTCTTGAACAAGATCAACGTTGCAAGACCTGCTCCAAGAGATGACCGTAAGAGAGAGGCATTCATCCCAGAAGGCGTCAAGAATCTCAAGAAGTACGACTCAACTGACCCTAACAGAAGAAGATTGGCCCGTGATATCGAAGAAGAGAACGGTGGTGCTGGTGTCTTCAACATCAACTTGCACGACAAGTACTTGCTCGAGGATGACGAGTGGAAGGATGATAAGATGCCAGAGATCTTGGATGGTAAGAACGTTTACGACTTCTTGGATCCAGATATCGCTGCTAAATTGCAAGCACTCGAAGAGGAAGAGGAGCGTTTGGAACAAGAAGGTTTCTACGACAGTGACTCTGAAATTGAAGACGAGGAGGCCGAGGACATCCATGAGAAGGCTCAATGGATTAGAGAGAAGCAACAGATGATGATTAATGCTGCCAGAAACAGAAAGGCCTTGAAGAACGGTGGTACCATGCCTCGTTCAAAGATGTCCAAGTCATTCTCTGAGATGGAGGCACACATGGAGTCTCTTGGACACGATATGTCCACATTGCAGTCCAAGAAGGCTGCCAAACTTGCTGAGAAGTACCAGGACACCGGTGCAGACGTTGTGTATGGCGAATCAGTTGGTCCATCTTCCTCGAAGAAACAACCTGCTTACAAGTCTGACCGTTTGACAGACGGTGTTGCTGATGGTGCACTTAGATCTAAGGCTGAGAGAATGGCCAAGATGGAAAGACGTGAACGTAACAGATATGCCAGACAAGGTGAATCTGACCATCACATTGGTAACATCATGCCAAAGCATTTGTTTGCTGGTAAGCGTGGTGTCGGTAAGACTGATCGTCGTTGATCGATATGCTGTATCTAATACATTTGGTTTCATGATGATAACTTTCTTCTTCTCTTTGCATTTTGACTTTCAATAGGGGTTTCTGAATATTGTTCTGTACATTAGTTAATGGGTTTTAATTTACAAACGTTCCATATACGTTCGATGTAGCTGATGGGTATAAGATAAGGAAACATATTTCAATTAATGTCATAATCTGTGATATCTGCAACAATATTCTATATACGCGGTGGTGAAGCGATCCATATAATGCAAGTCGAGGATTCTCCAATCCATCATCATTGAATAAAGCCATTTTTCATGTTTAACTCCATCATTCCTGAGTTCATTAGTATTGTCTGTGGCGATTCTCCCACTGGAGATATTCCAATTGTTGTCGATGCACCACTAGTCTTCCTCTGGTTGTTATAGAAACTGTGGTCAGGCTGTGGAGTATTCACAAATCTACCCATAACAGTGGACACTGCGGGACTCTGCTGTTGTAGATGTTTACTTGTGAACGTCAATGGGCTTTGCTCTCCTTCCGACGTTGGGGGAGAGAGCGAATAACTGGAGTTAGCCGATCCATCAGCCACTTTGACTGTGACATTTGAAGACTTAGCTGACGAGGGAGTGGAGCCACCTGATTGGCGTCTCTTTGTCTGGCCGGACTCGAACACAAACTCGTAGTTCTTATGGGAGCCACCCTTCAAAGGTGTCACCAGCTTTGGATTCTCTGCAACCTGCACAGTAACGTTTTTGCTAAATTCCAAAGTCTGGTAACTGGCTGATGTCTTCTTTGTTACGCCACCACCAATGGTTCCATTGATAAAGCTCTTTGACTTTGTCAAGACACCTGGACATTTTGAGCCATTGGACACCGAGTTCTTCTTTGCCCTTGGTAGTCGAGTGGTAGAGTTAGACTTTATCATTGAAGGTTTTGAAGGTGTCTCTATAGGTGAATTAGAAAACGGTTCAGATGGATGGACAAAATTCTGTGGTGAAGTGTTTTGGGACGATGGTTGTGATAGAGCACGGTTATTGTGAGGCATCACAACTTGAGCCGGTGTTCGTATTGGGATCTGAGAGTTTGGCACATCCACGTACGAAGGCATACCTTGATATTGATTCATTGTCTGCATGGATAGGTCAACAGGTGACACTAAAGGCGGTACATTCTGCACAGGTATCGCACTATTTACAACAATGTGATGAACAGGACGTTGTGGAGTCACTGTAGTTGTCACCCGTTGTTGGACCTGTGGTTGGACCTGTGGTTGAATAGGATGCCCTTGTAAATGGGCAGGCAGCGGAGCCTGCTGATTTCTTAGCTGTTGTTGTTTCATAACTTGGTTTTGCATATGCATATGGAACTGTGTTGATACTTGAGCCTGTTGAGGACTTGGTCCTTGAACAACTTCATTCGGTGGATGAGCAGTCACATAGTCACTACCTTCACTGCGTTTTATATGGAACGTGTATGGAACAGGACCGGCCTGAGTGTGCTGTGAGATAGTTGGTGCAGAATGGTTTCCATGACCATAGAACACTGATGGTGGTTGTATCATATCATGCTGGTGTTGGTGTTGCGGCAAAAGTGGAACTTGATTAGGTTGGCATTGCTGAACGACACTTGCTGTGCTTGCATTAGCATGTATTCCAAGTCCATCAACATTCCCATTCCCAGCAACAAAGTCATCGGATACATTTGAAATTGGCGACGACACCTCAAGTATCGTCTCATTGGACATTTGCCTTTGTAGGGCGTTGTCGGTATATGAAGAGAGCGGGTCATCCTCCAGCAGGTTCTCCAGCGTGATCTCAGAACCTTGTAACCCTCCGCCATGGTCATATTGCGAGTGCTGAAGCAGCTGTGCCTGTCTTGTCAGCTGTGCAATGATCTGGTCATCAGAAGGAGCATTCAGTGCGCCATCGTAGAGATCACTCTGGACATGGTGTACATGCGGGTGTGTATGATCCTGGCCCTGCTGCTGTGGTAAATATGTCCCGGGCCTTTGGGAGTGATGAGACCCCCCGTGGCTCTGTGGATAAATCTGGTTTGGATGGTGGTTCATGCTCCTGGAGATACTCCCCTGCTGATGTGGATGAGAGTGAGAGGACAGAGCAGTGTACTGAGGTTGATGAACAACAAATTCTTGAGATTGAAAATTCAAATCGTAAGGCATAACTTTTCCTCTGTAGCAAACGCGACGCGGTCAAAAAAGAGCAGAAAGGCCAAAAGAAAAGAAAAAGCCGTGGGAAAAGCGCGTTGTTGACCGAAAAGCTGGAAACACCTGGTAGAGAAAACACTCCACCAAAGGAAAGCTGAGGAAACACCAGAAATAGGAGGCGGAACGGCTGTAAGCGGTCAATCAACAGTGAACACGCCCGTGTTTGGTGATCGTAGGCCGGTCTCAGGCAGTAGAAGGAGACCCAACGGAGCCTCTGTTGTTGCGCTTGAGCGTTTGTTGCTGCGCTTGAGTGCTTGTTGTTATGATGCGCTTGGACGTTTCAATAGAGAAAGCGCTCGTTAGAAGGGGAAAACACACGCACGCACACACGCACTCCACGAAAACACACTCGGCTGGCGTGGCTTCCGTAGCGGCAGACAGTAGCGTTATCTTTTCCTCTGGCTCTCGAGCTCGGTAGAACGGTCGAGCTGTGGCGAGATGAACGAGCTTGGTTAGGGACGATCCGCCGTATAGGTTCTTCCGCTAGGAGGTGAACAACTGAGACAAGAAGGCCCACCAGAAGCAAAGCGAAAACAAAGGCAAACTAGCCAAAACAACTGTGAAAAACACACACAACAGACACTGTAAACCCTCCTGTGATGGCGTGGTTGGAACGCTCGAGTGTACTTGGATCTGTCGTGGAAAAAGCGAGTGTAAATGGGCTTCTCTCGGGCCTCTGACGGTGTTTAAGCGAGTGTGTTGATTGTTGGAGAGAGACAAGAGGAGTTGCTCTTCCTATCTAATTCTGTGCGAAGTGAAGCGGGCGGGTTATAAAAAGAGCCAAATGACACAGGCGAACCGGCACTATCAGACAACGTTACAAAGGTGAAATCCACAAGAGTCCTTGGTAGCACGCTCTGACTATTTGCCACTACGCTGTTTTGATATCCAAAGCTTGACTGAACAATACAAAAGAAGCGAAAGAGGAGGAAAACAAGAGCTCTGTGCCTGCTTCCTTTCTTTCCCCAATGGTGTGCTCGCGCTATCGGGGCCCTCCACCGTCGCACTGTAGAAATGTTCCGTGAAACCACAGAAACCAACCACCCCACCTCCCCGTGCGCGCGCAAAGGAAAACATCCAGCCACTGCGGACAGGCCGGTGTGTGGCGTCTACCGGTTCTGTTTTCTGCGCGGAAATTGCGTCGTAATTTCTCCAGCGCTGCGCGCGCTTATAAATCGTTCCGACGCTGTGAGATTCCGAACTCAAAAGCACGCCAGCACAGACGAATGGAGGGAAATGGCAAGAGGGCGTTGGATGTGTGGTTGGTGCATGAAGCTGACGATGGAGGGATGACTGGCCATTGAATTGCGCGTGTGGAAATGCTCCAATGGCATTGTTTCTGGGCTGTTTGGGCAGCTGTCCGGCGTATGCACCTGTGCCACAATCTATGTTGAAACTTGCATGAAACACACTCTAACCGCAGTATCTCAATGGCTTGAAAGCAGTTTGAAAGAGGTTTACAGAGAAGAAGCCAAAGACGTACACACACGAGGGCTGCGTTGTATATGCTGTGTAGAGTGTAGCGGCGATTGAGGCTCGCTTAGCCTTTGAGCCGAGCGCCAGACCGCTAATGCCCGTGGTAGCACACTACATTCAATGACATTAACCAATGTATCATTAATTGTTATCCAAGTTTGATACACCGCACCGGTGTATCAGTCGCCAGTTATAATAAACATATCCCATATGTGAAAATAGTAATACAAACCAAATACAAAAACCATAAGTAGAAAGAAAAGAAAAGAAACACCCAAAGTACCAACCAGTGGTGTACAATGTACACCCACTTTGACCAATAGAAAACAGGAAGAGAGAACAATTAGAAACGTTCACAGTGATCGATTAGTCTCTTCCATGATAAAAAAACCCCCCAATAGAAATTCTTCCAGTAAAATTTCCAGTCAACTGCGAACAACCCACTAAACGGCAAAAAATAGCATATAGAAACCAGTACAACATTGAAACATTCCAATTCTGGAATCACACGTACTTCTCAAACAGACCATCGTCTAACCATCCACACTTCTCGAATGCAGCAAATAACCTCGATGCCTTATTGACATCAATACGGCATGACTTCTGTGCGTCAGTTCTTCTGAACGGTAAGCCCTTTCTCATCCGTGAAACTTTCTCTGCAAAGAGTCTTCTCTTAGAATCCAAGTACAATGCACACGGCAATCTAAGTGTTGAAGCAAGGACAATTTCTGCAGGGTGTAGATGGCTAACCAATGGATCCGATTTCAAGTCCATAGGTTGGCCTTTCCACTCAACTTTCATGCATCTGTTGTTGTTAGGAAGGGTATCCACAGAAGGAGAGAAATCAGGCAATGACTCCCAATCAACGTTTACAGGAACTGTAGGTGATGTGGCAGCAGGTCTTCTTCTCTTTGGAGGTGGAGTGGAAACCTTGGACGTTTCAGAATCGACGTCAGTGTTGTTGGTCTCTTTGACAACACGACGTGTTCTAACCTTCTCAAAGGTTGAGCTATAATCCGAATCAGAGTTGTAGTAATTTGAAGGCTTGTGAACCTTTCTAGGTTGATATTTTCTCTGTGGAGTAGCTTTAGTGATCCCCTTGGACAAGCCCATACGACAAGTATACTGTTTCAAGAAATGCATCTGTGATTTCTTGTAGGACTTTGACCCAATTCCACTCCATGCATTTACAACCAGTGGGAATTTTTCAAAGTTGTCAATTGGGAATTCCGCAACCTTTTGACCAGGGAGTACCAATATGGTATCAATGTGATCATCTGACTGTTTCCCCTTAGCGTTGAGTCCCGTGATTAAAACCTCTGGAATTTGACGCGGTGTGGTCATCGCATCGGAAGACGATGCTGCACTCTGGTAAGGTGATAGCGGAGGAGATGGGATCGACTGGTCATCTGCCCTCGTGATGGATGACTTTGAAGACTTTCTCTCAATTGTGCCACCAATGACATCCTCCTGTTCAGTAACGCTGATGGCTTTAGGATCTGGTGTCATCGCACCAAATGATATGTCTGCTGCTGATGACGACATTGTAGATAGACGGTGAACTTTCACGCGACGCGCACTTGTAAAATAGCTCTTGTAGAATAGCACTCGTAGAATAGCTCTTATAGAATGCTGAACACTCACAACGAGCTAAGTAATTGAAATAGTTATCTGAATGGAGACGGAAATACAACAAAAAGCAGGGGAAAGGTTGGAAGGGAAAAGAAGACATAAAACGGGCATCGCAGTTATATATATGTAGCCAAAAAACTATGTCTTTTCTTTTTTGGCACCATATCCCGAAAGTGGTCATAAGCTTTTTTCGCAATATTGCGAGAACTTGTGCAGTTTTCTGCGTCAGCGGAAGGCGCATTAGAGGAAGAAAAAAAAAGAAAAAAAAAACTTTGATGGTGTTCTCTATCTGAGTACGAAAAACAGATAGCTGGGGCTAAATTGTCAGAAATTGGTTTTAAATGTTCTGGCACAGGTGCTCAATTATAGCAATTGTGCTTTAATATCAGGCCATTGACCCCTCTTTGCTGGTCCTCACTCGTCTACTGAAACTTCCAGAGGTTGCTCTGTCAAGTTTTTTCTATCTTTTGAAGTAGCAAATTCCAACGGAGAAGCGAATCAGGCGTCGATACGAAAAAAACACCTTCATCCGGTAATTCGGTCGCACCACTTTCGCCAAAAAAAAAGAATTGTGCCATCTCCTGTGCATACGATACGTGACACAATCGTGACTGCTAAATTAAACCTAACAACTCCGATTCACCCCACCGCATCTGTTGTCATCACATGGAGTTGTCATTCGAACATCACCACAACGTCAATTGACAGTAGGGCAAGGGACGATAAGATGATGCCAATATTGAGTCAGCTGCCCCTCAACGCAATCATCCCACCCTCGGGGTTAAAAGATCTCAATTGACCCGTAATTACCACGAGTTCGAGATGAGCAGAAGAACTTTTTGGAATCTCCAATAGCACATCCAATCTACGATTCGCTGATTGCCCCGAGATTGTTCGGGATTGGCACGTCTCCAAACCCTGTTCGCTGACTGGACACAGGGAATTTTCCCATGGGGGAAACCCGATAAGATGACCAATGAGTATGTGACCATCAATTGGTGCTATTTTCGGTCTTTGCTGTCATGGCTATGCCAGTTGCTAAGTTGATGACTACGACTCTCGCCTATTATAGCAACTTAAAACTGAGGACGTGTCTGGTAGACTATAGCGAGCGCAAGGTATACGGGCTATACTTAGCCACCGAGTAGATGTTAGCTATCATTCATTTAACTTTATCAAAGTTATAAACATAGTACAGTGTAATCAATAAGGTTAAATCACGGTAATGCCGAGCTAACAAGGATGAAGGGTTTGTATTGGAGTTGTTGCTATAGGACAAGGACATTGTTTTATCACCAGGCCAATTTGATGGTTCTATAAAGCATGCTTATAGTTCTAGGACACTCTTAGTTTTGGAAATGTCAACAATTGGTCAGTTGCTGGAAATGTTATGTCATGCTTATTATTCCTGGGCTTTAATAGGCTGGATTCCACAGCGCTGAGGCAGCTGAGCTCCGAATGGCGCAAAACAGTGACATCGCCCACTTTTTGTGGCAAAAAAAAAAAACGAAAAAGCTACAATGCAAGCTGCAACTCTAATTTGCGCCAATGTACGAAAACGGAAATGTAGTAAAAGACACATTTTGTGCCATGGGAAAATTTTTCTTCAGAGGATACTCATCTCTGATTTGTTGAAACGGTTTTGGTATGCAATGCATAGCTAGTTGTATATTCATCTAGACCCGAAGGAACTGCCTAAGATGAAGGTGAAAAAGTTTTCACTGTGGTATTTGTAGCATAAGCTCTACCTGGAAACGAGAGTGATGTGATAAGATGAGACGCCAGTAGTTTTATCACCTTTAGAAGACCACAATTGAAGCCAAAACTCCATTCGATGAAAACTGGCGATCTTTCACTAATTTGCTGGCTACACTCGACATGTTCGCTCCTCGGTTATCCTGTTCTTTACATGGGATAAGCCTCTGTCTTTCACCGTCCACGAGGTTGTCCAAACGCGATGCGAAGGGCTTCTGGGTATATACGTTAACTTCACCGTTATGCAGCTTACAGAAAAAGAAACGGGAAACGTGTAGCGGCGTGTGTGAGACTGAGCTTGCCAATGTTCCTGGTACCAACACAATTCTTTTGAAAGACCAATGTATCGTGGAACACGAAGTAATGGCCATCCCTCAGCTCAACGATACAAAGTGCGTGGCCACATTTGTTTTCACCATTTGTTAGATGCTTAGGCGTCAGTTTCCTGCTTAGCTTCTCTCCCCGTATGCGTACGTGGTCCTCTGCAAGACATTTTATTTTTTGCTTTGGGGTTTTCGCAAAACCGTTTTTTTCGTGATAGCCCTTGCGTTGATAAGAATAGGAGTTGTGGCATCGAGATCGCGGCGATCGCTGGGGGCGTATTTCTCTGGCCAGAGATTCCAACGAAACCTGGTTGAGAAGTAAACGCTAAGTGATGGCCTCTCTCATGGATTGTGCCATTATGGACGAAGAATGCTTTTTGATGGTACAACTACTGATTTTTATCTGAGATCTGTCCCTATTTTGCTATAGAGTTCCATCATTGAGCATCTGAACGTTCGCTGCGAGATCTGAAAGCGATCATCAACGTGTCTTATTCATACAAGACAAGTAGTAGAAAACAGGCACGGGCTCTAAATTGAGTGGTCTAGAGTGTAATCAGCTGGCTGGAAATACATGGCAAGGTCCACTCTCGACATACCTGGCGTGACATACAGGTCAGCTAGTTGAAAGGCACAACACACATCCATGAACGGCGTTGGTCAAAGGACCTACTCTAAGAATCAATTGAAAAGTCAACGAGTCATCTCTCCAGCCCTTACTTCAACAACGCAAATGCTGTATCGAATAGACTCCATCCTATATGATTCACTAAATTACTGTCCATTTGCTGGTTATTTCATCCCCCAATGCTTTCCCTGACTCAAAGGGTCATGCTGCGGAATCAGGGTGCTACATGGATATGGCGAATAGCAGTACACTACGCCGCTAATCTGTTCTATGCATACCCCATAACAAGGTACTTTGCTGGCAAACACTATACCTTCTGTCTCCTCATTTTGCTCACAAGGTGGTGTTGATCGACGCATCTTGATTTGGGCAGATGTCTTTGCTAACGGGATGCACCTTTTTTAAAGAAAGGATGCCCACATTAACAGGCCGGACTCAGGAGCTCTGTATTTAGGGCCAATCCTATGTGTTAAAACCACTGCTATCGTACAGAGATAGGTAAAACAGTAAGTCAAATCCCCGGGTCACGCCTTAGGGATATACCCCTCAAGAGTTAGTACAAGCTAACTCTGACCATAATTTTATAGGCATGGTGTAAGCCACCGGCGATGCTCCCTCTCGCCATCCCCATATGGCCTCTCTTGTTCAGACGACAAGTCCAGTGGCACTTGTTTGAACCCATAGCAATCACCAGCAAAGCCAAATACCAAGACTGTGACTTGTGGAAAAGTTCGAAACCAACTGTAAAAGTGTGTCTAGAATCTTCCTTTTGTCCTTCAACTGGGTTGCCTCATCCTGAATCCTGATTTTAGGCACGGGATGAAAACCTTACTCAAATTAGTCCCCAGGTGTCAGCCTGTCGTTTAGTGTGGGATATGAGACGGCAAAAATTCTCTCAACTTATGAACTACAAACACATATGGCAAGAGGTGGAAATTGCTGTTAGTTTTTACCAGCTTAAATCTGGCTTTTCTCGTATATCTCATATTCCCTTGGTCATACCACCAGCTTTGAGTTGGGTGACCCCACAGCCTCTCGGAAAAATTCGATCCTTGGCTAGATGGTCCCGGAAATGACGGCCATAGAAAAAAATTTTTGCTGCTGGTGTGAAGTCCGGAAAAACCATTCGACACGGGGTCAATGCATAGATTTTCCGGGATATGTCAGGTGTTGGCAAGAGGTGCAAAAATTGCTTAAATTCATTCCAATTTTCCCCCTTCCTAAACAATCCTGGACTTATTCTAATTAGTGTAAGAGTACGACAGCATAGAGAAAACAAGGCATAGCTCTAGAACATATTGTGGAGCAATATCATATTCATTATATCAAGATGATAGGTTCATCTCTTTTATTGCATAGGGACGGGAGCCCAAAGGAAAAGACGCAGACGTGCACAATCAAGAAGGAATCCGATAAGGGCAAAGTGAAACAGTTCATCAAACTTTTGAAAGAAGGACCAGCGGGAAGCAGTTCATACAATAACTTCTCGAGTTATGAAGACGAGACTGAAGAGGAGGATGCACCACTACCAAGAAGGAAATCCAAGTATGAACTGTTCCTCAAGCATAGGGTGAGGGAAGCACAGGTACGTGATTTTACAATTCAACAGATGGTTATTAAATGGAAGAACCAGAACTAACAACAGTCTTAGATTCAAAGCTATAACGAGGAAATACAGAGAGAATCTACGAGATCCTCCAGCCGGTCGTGCTCAAGCAGCTGCTTCAGCTCAACTTCATCGCTCAACTCCCTAAAGAGGGTGAGATTTGCGGACACCGTGGACTCTGCATTTTGAACGTATAATGCATGGAAAACTTTACGATTTTACGATAAAACTTACAAGAGTAAGATGAGACACTACTGGTTTATATAATAATGATGATACTGCATAACAGGTCTATTACTTCTTCTTTTGAGAGGTAGAGTTCTTTGGTAGCTCCTTAACAAATGGAATGAACTCTGGTTCACCTGGGATGTACTTTCTCAACACCTCTGGGATGACAAGACCTTCTTCCGTTTGGTAGTTCTCCAAGATACAGCACAGGGCACGTTCAGTGGCACACAAAGTAGAGTTCAAGCAGTGGACGTACTTCTTTTCACGGTCAGTCATCTTCTTGATACCACATCTGATCTCCAAGTTTCTGGATTGGTAATCTGTACAGTTAGAGCAAGAAACCAACTCCTTGTATTCCTCCTGGAATGGGAACCAGGCCTCCAAGTCGTACTTCTTAGCAGCTGCGTTGTTCAGCTCACCAGAAACAATGGCGACAACTCTGTATGGCAATCCAAGGGACTTGTAGAACTCTTCAGACAAGTTGATCATACGGTCAAACTCTTCCCATGATTTCTCTGGCTCAGTGAGACAGAACTGTTCAATCTTCTCAAAGGCATGGACACGGAAGATACCCCAAGCATCCTTTCCGTGGGAACCAGCTTCTCTTCTGAAACAAGAGGAGTAACCAGCGTATCTAACTGGCAACTGTTCTGCTGGGGATTCAAACCACTCACCAGCATGGTAAGCAGAGATTGGTTGTTCAGAAGTGGCAATCAAGTACTTCTCATCTTCACCATCGATAACCTTGTACAATTCCTCGTCGAATTGCGACAACTGGGCGGTCTTGGCCATCACCTCTTTGTTCATCATCACAGGTGCTTGCAATGGAGTGTAACCACCGTTCTTGGCCAAAAAGTTCAATCCGTAGTTGATCAATGCCTGGTTCAAGAACACACCATAGTTTCTCAAAAAGTAACCTCTGTGACCAACAATACGGACACCACGTTCAGGATCGTAACCGTCCAGACGGAGTAACACTTCGTGGTGCGACAACTTGGCCTCCTTACCAGTGGCAGCAGCAACCTTGGCCACCTTCTCGTACCCCTCTGGGTTCCAGTCTCTCACGAGCCCGTTGTTGTCCTCGTTGTCAGACACTGGCACAGACTCGTGGACAATGTTACCAACCTGGTTCACTTTGAACTTCAGCGCCTTGTCAAGCTCCTGCTCCTTGACGATGAGGTCCTTCTTCTTCTCTGCAATCGCATCCTTCTCCTTCAACAGCTCAGACGCATCTTCCTTGGCCTTGAACTTCAACCCAATCTCCTTCTGCACCTTGTTCTGCTGCTTGTTCAGAGCATCCAGGTCAAATCTGATCTTGGTCCACTCCTTGTACGACTGAACAATGTCATCAACAAGCTCAACAGACGCATAACGCGCAGCCTGTGACTTCTTGATGAGCTCAGGGTTACCGCCTTTCTCTTCGATGAACTGTGAGATGTCCAACATGTTTCGTACTCGTTCTCCTTGTTGGTGAAGTGTGTGTTTGTTGTGCCTTTGTTAGAGAAGGAAAAGTGATAGAAAAAACGTCCAAGTGTCGTTTTTGTTGTCGAAGCGGTGGTGGAAGCCAGAAAAAAACAAAAAAACACTTCCGAGGGCTCATCGGCCGGTTCTGAAAAAATTTCATCGGAGGGATGGCTGCTGCGATGTTCCGAGGCTTCATTTAACGAGACATAAATCAGCTTCTTCTGTATACTTTGTGCTGTGCTGTGCTGTGCTGTGTGCTGATAATACTGAGATGTCCACTAGACCGTTGCCTAACATTGTGATTACTGGTACGCCGGGGTGTGGTAAGACGTCGCATGCTGAGCAATTGTGTAGAGAGGCACCTGCGTTTAAGCATATAAACGTCACGGAGTTTGCGAAGGCGTACGACTGCTTTGATGGGTACGACGAGGAAAGAAAGTGCCATATTGTGGACGAGGATAAGCTGTGTGATGCACTGGAGCCAATGCTGGAGCAAGGTGGCATTGTGATCGACTGGCACGCTTGCGACTGGCTTCCAGAGAGACTTGTAGACCTCGTTATCGTTCTCAAGACAGATAACGGGATCCTATACGATAGATTGGAGAAGAGAGGGTACCCACAGAGTAAAATCGACGAGAACATCGACTGTGAGATCATGGAGGTCATTGCTAACGAGGCCAGAGAGTCATATGCGCCAGAGATCGTCATCGAGCTGCAATCCAATACTACAGAGGATATGGATGAGAACGTTCACAGAATCGTGTCTTGGATAGATACCTGGAAGATCAATAACCCTGCTGGTGCATCTAATGAGCTTCCTATGTAAGACGTACATGTGTATGGATTTAATTGTCATGGAGGAACTTTTTAACCAAAACAAGTGCTTTGTAACGATGCGAAATGGTGTTCTTTAAGGACTTGTCCATCTCACCGTAGGTCTGCTTGTACCCATTTGGCTGAAAGATTGGATCCCATCCAAATGGCGAGTCACCGTTATAACGTGGTACATCAACTATGATACCATCGTTGACACCTTGGAATAGCTTCACTTCGCAGCCTGGGCCCTCGCAGTAGGCAAAGGTGCAGACGGCCTGAGCAGATTTGTCTTCAAACCCACTTAGAAGCTTTGGCAAACCTTCAACACCAAGAGAATCCAAAAACCACTTAATATACGGGCCTGGAAGCTCCAAGTTTGGTTTGGACAATGCATTGAACACAAGACAAGTATCTTCAACGAGGACTGGGCCACCAATGGCGTTGGCAGCAGCCTTGGCCTTCTTTGTAGAGATCTCGGCAATTGACCCTTGAATCTCTTCAAGATCAATCTTTTGATGGACGATACTTGAATCCTCAACAATCGCTTGGAACTCTCTCAGCTTGTTCAAGTTGCCGGTGACAAATGTAATTGGCATCGTCTCTATGACTGGCTTTCCCTGGTATTCAACGTCTGACAGTTGTTTCAACAGAAGAGCTCGATTTGTCTAAAAACGTTTTGATGCACAGTGTCCCCTTTACAAAAATGTATATTACAACGAGTTGTCGCAACAATGTTTCAAACTGGGGGCTAACATTGGTGGGTATATAAGTTCATAAGAGTTCTTTATAGAGGGGTCAGTAATTAGATAGAGAGGTCGTTTGAAGACTTCTTCGTAGAGTCACTATGGTCACATACTCGTATACGCTTTTCAAGCCGGCAACTCATGGTCCAGTGAAATCACCACAAGCTTCATCAACGAGAGGGCTCAAGAACAGTCCACAAGAACAGAGCGAGAACAACAACTTCGACCCATTAAAATACTTTAACTTCCCAGAGTTTCCCAAGGTTGAGACCAGCAACATTTATGGGGGAGATCACAAGAAATAACGGGCAAATGAATTACATTTTCATTCCCATTCGGACGATATATGATACTTTCTGATGATATGGCCATGAAGACTCGTTGGATCAAATCGGATCTGCTGTAGATAATCTCCATCAAAGCCAATTATTGGTCCATCAAGAGGGTCATCAAGGTATGGGCACACATACTTCTTATTCAACTCTCTGAGTTCATCCAGTGTGCTTGCCCTCTTCTTAACAGTTCTTCTTTGTGCTTCATTTGTAGGTGACGCTAAGGCTGTAGAAGAACCAACATTACTTGTTAGAGTGCTCTTCTTTATGGCCTTAAGCGCAATGTAAAAGGATAATGGCAAGTAGTCCTTCTCAAATGTGTAAAATACCACAAACGTACTAAGTACAAGTGGTACCACCATAATGGCAAAGAAATATGCGTGCTCAAGAGCCAACGTTCCAGCCATGGTCAGCTGAAATATCACCAGTCCAAGACACACCCTTCTGAAGATCATAGGCCACGATTGACCAGTCGAATGTTGAGGGTGTACCATAGAATACATTAACTGATATTTGTAGGTATAATATCCTAGGAAGAAATACACCAAACCTGCTGTGACGATCTTCGTAGACATGATAGAGTAACTCATGGTGATGATCATGATGAGAATATGCTGTGGGAGTACCAAGGAGAAGTCAAAGATAGGTGGGACGTAGTAAAGGTTTCTGAAATCCCTTGCTGTACGACAGTAGAACATCTTTGCTATAATTTCAAGACAAACATCACCCACTTGTAGTAATCTGAATGGGAACATGCCTAATCCTTGTAACAGGATAAGGTCGACATAGAACAAAGACAACGTCTTTAAAGAATTTGCAAGCTCATAAGCTACTTTTGTAGTGTCTGAGAACAAGGCCCAAACGTTGGTCGCCGTCCCTGCCAAAGTAAAGATCAAAAACAAATTGAAGAAGAGATAGAAAAAGTTCTTCGAAGTTGCAGATAGTTCCACTTGTCCATTAGAGATGTAACCTTGCAACGTTGACAAGTATTGATAGAAGTATGGAACAGAAACATTCAAGAGAGTATATAGATATGGTGGAACCAACCCGATGAGTAATGTTAGCGTATCAGATTGAGATATCAGATCCCCCAAAGCTGGCCAGAACTTTTGAATGGTTTTCAAGTTGATAAAAGTTGACAAGTAAATAACAGGAAAGATCAACCCTACTGTAGAGATTGCAATGACAAAAGTTATCAAGTTAGATCTGAGGAATCTGTTTCCTCTGGATAGGCACAAATTATCCCAGCAGATGTCATGTGGTGCTGGAGCTAACCTTGCAATCAATCTGTACAAGTGAGGGTCAATAACCGTCTGAGCAGCCATTTGTGCCGATGCCACGGAGTCCATGGTGACAAATGCGGCTCTGGCAGCGGGTAGATTCACCATTTGACGTTCTGCTGTAATTCTTCTATCAACATCAACAAGTTTATTGGAATAGTATGATATTGCATCAACCTCTTCACCAAATATCCCCAAGAACCCCAGTCTCTTCTTTGGTCTCTTGTCTGAGCCGAGTAACGAGTCCGATTCCGAGTATTGTGGGATTAATTCTCTTGGTGTCACTGATGGTTCTAAATTGCCCGATGTATACACCTCCACTGTTAGTGGAATGTATTTTGAATACGCAACTTCGAGGTTTCTCATGATTCGCTTCCTCTCTTGGAACAACTTCCTGAGTCTTGACCAGTCAGATGCGATTGAGATATCTCTAACTTTACCGATCCCCAGATCTTCTATATACCTCTTAAGTCTATCTTCATCAAATTTAGAAGCTTCATGTTCATTATTACTGGACAGCTCAGACGTTGAACTACTGTCGCTGTTGCTGTAGTCATAAGGGTTGAATTCAGTTGGTAATCCCTCGAGTAAGATCGTTCGATCAGTTATAGAGTTCTGTTGACCGAGGTACCTCTGCCGTACTGAAACCACAAGTTCAGTCTGCGACCAGAGAAAGTAGTACACGATCCAGGTGAAAACGTACGTAAACAACGCATACATCCATGCTGTAGAGGCGAGTCCATTGTTCTCTCCATCGTCATCACCATCGCCCTTACTTTTCGAGAGGAAGATCGATAACACAGATCCTGATGACTCACCGTCCCAGGATATACCATCGCTATCGAAAAACCCCGTGTAGTAGTACCGTATAGGGCCTATAAAGCACATCGATATTGCAAGGAACGTTGCAAAGAGCTTTATCGCCATACGGAAGAACCCGAGATACACATACGCATCCAGCCCGGACTGCTCCAGCACTTCAGCGTCCGATACGTTATACAACGTCAAACACCATCCAAACAGAGTCTTGGGCAACGGAGTCAGCCCATTCTTCCTCAGCACTCGCACCCCATAGATATGGGGCCATCTGTATCGCAGCAGACTGAACAGAAGAAACGCTGATACCCCGAGAACCGTACACACCGCGAGCTGGGCCTTGAACACTCGTAATGGCTGCTTTGTAGGGTCTATGTCAGAAGGAAGTGCACTCATTTCCAGTGAAAGAGCAAGCTGTTGGAAGAGTAATGAATGGTGATGAAGTCTCGTTGTGCTTTGTTTACATCTTTGTGTATACACAATATCCGGTACAGGCAACACTTTTTCCAGGCTGAAGAGTGGAGCAGCGACAAAAACACCCCTATTGGGTAATTTCCTGTTTAGGAAATGCGACAAGTGAAAATTTCCTCGACGTGGACTGCGACGCAAAACTAAAGCGAAAAAACAACACAAAGCAATAGGCAAATACCTCATTTCGTTGCTGAGTATTGATTCGGATCTCTGTTTCTCTCTGTGTGCGTGTGTTTAAGTGTGTTCACTGCTCAAGAGGGTTCGTCTTTATACAATGAGTGACCTCTACTTGGTGATTGACGTGACAACCACCTGCGATGAACATGGTGTTTATGTCTCAAAGGACTCTGCCGAGGTGATTGAGATGGCGTGGAGGTTGTTGGATGCCTCCACGTTACACGAGATTGCCAGAGACTCTGTTCTGAGCCGTCCCACAAACACCCCTATCACAGCTCTGTGTACCAACTTGACGACGTTAACATGGGAGCACGTGAGAAACAGCGGGAACTTCAAGGATGCGATCTCCAAGCTGGATGCGTTTGTCCACGAGTACATCATCTCCAAGAACCTCGAATTCACCTTTGTCACTTGGGATGCTTGGGATTTGAGGGTACAGCTACCGAGAGAGGCACGTGACAAGACTGTGGTTCTACCACCATATCTACAGCATGCGCGTGTGTTTGACATCAAGGATGAGTATGCCAAATGGCAAGCTCATCATCCCGAGGCATTGAGTTACTCTGCCTCTAACTTATCGAGCATCCTGACCGCACTTGAAGTTGAACTTGATCCAAGCAATACCAGTTTCCAGGTTCATCCACAACAACTGCAATCACAGTCTCAGCAACCGCATCATAATCACCATCATCAAGGTACTCAACAGGAAGGTCGTCGTGCCGGCGAGGAAGTTGAAATAGTCACGTCCATTCTCAAGGCCTTGGTTAAGAAGTGTACTCCTGCTCAGGACCACCATGATGTGCTAACTCATCCATATGACGCGCGTGCCGATGTGCGTGCATTCTTGGCTGAAAGATCAAAAGTACTATATATGACCAACCTGCCATATGACACTACTCAGAGCGAATTGGAGAGCTGGTTCACACAATACGGAGGCCGTCCAATCGCATTCTGGACATTGAAAACACCAGACCAGAATAAACCAACAGGCTCTGGCTTTGCAGTGTTCAGCTCTCATGAAGAGGCTGCAGAGTCATTGGCGATGAATGGTCGCTCGCTCAATGACAAATGCATCCAGGTTCAACCTTCAAGTGCCCGTGTCCTAGACCGTGCACAGGAAATCTTGACCTTGTTCCCTCCTTCAAAGAACCGTCCAAGACCTGGTGACTGGACTTGTCCAAGTTGCGGGTTCTCAAACTTCCAACGTCGTACTGCATGCTTCCGTTGCTCATTCCCTGCCTCATCTGCTGCTGCTGTTCAAGAGTCGATATACACTGCCAATGGTAACGGTTCTCAGGGCTCAGCCAACACTAACAACAACGGTAACGGCAATAATAATAGCAACAACAACAACAACAACAACAACAACAACAACAACAGTCATAACCATGGACATGCCCACAGCAACAACCACACTAACAACAATCACAACCATGGCCATGCTCACAACCATACGCATAATAGCAACGGCCATAACCACAGCAACAATAACAACAACAATAACAATAACAACGGCAACGGCAATAATAACAACAACAACAATAACAATCATGGCGGCAACAATCATGGCGGCAACAATCATAACAACAATGGCCATGGTCAAAGGTTTTCATCGGTGCCATTCAGAGCTGGTGATTGGAAATGTGGTAATGACGGCTGTGCATACCACAACTTTGCAAAGAACATCTGTTGCCTGAGATGTGGTGCACCACGGGTTCAGCAAGTTCAGGGTCAAAGTGCAGCTGGACAAGGCTCGTCTGGCCAGTTGACTGGACAACAAGGTCAACCAAGGGCTCAGGCTCAGGACCAACAGCAGTCCGCCAGATATTTCCAACAGGTTTACAACACGGATATGAAAGATCTATCCAAGAATTTGTCAGGTATAAACATCGGTTATGCAGTGAATAACTCTGAGAACTGGTGAAGGGATCAATCAGGGACCAACAAGGTGAAGTGTCTGCTACTTCTGGATAGCAGAGCATATTATTCAGAAAAGGAGAGAGATTATATATAGTACAGATGATCGGAGGGGAGCTTGGAATTGTTTATATACCGTGCTTGCGTGTATTTATATTATATTGTTTTTAGGTGTTGTTTTGTCAACGTTTGAGGTACAAACTGGTTTGGTTTAATGATGTTGGAGAGGTGAACGAATAAGATTACTTCTCGACAAGTATTAATTTTAAGGTATGTTATTACAAAGCTTTAACTATAGTTGATTCTACATAGTTGATTCTACATAGTTGATTCTACATAGTTGATTCTATCAGCTTAAAGAAGGTGCATTCTGTTCTTTGTTTTTAATTACATAAATGTAGGGTTGTGCCTCTCGGACCACGGGCTCATCACAGATGACTTTGGCGAGGCTCGGCTAGTTAAATGTTGTGCAAGTCAACAACGGCTCTGATACATTCACCCTTGTGCATGTCGTCAAAGGCCTCGTTGATCTGTGGCAAGGTTTGTCTGTGGGTGATGAATTCCTTAACCATGAGCTTACCGTTCATGGTGTCCTCAACAAAGGTTGGGAGTTGAGTTCTACCCTTGACGCCACCGAAAGCAGAACCCTTCCAGACTCTACCAGTGACCAGTTGGAATGGTCTTGTGGAGATCTCTTGGCCAGCAGCAGCAACACCAATGATGATGGATTGACCCCAGCCCTTGTGACAAGCTTCGAGGGCTTGTCTCATAACCTTGACGTTACCAGTACAGTCAAAGGTGTGGTCGAGACCACCATCGGTCATCTCGATAAGCTTGTCCACAATGGTTTGACCTTCGGAAAGCTTTGTTGGGTTGACAAAGTCAGTAGCGCCAACCTTGTCAGCCCAAGCCTTCTTGTCATCGTTGATATCAACGACAATGATCTTGGAAGCCTTTCTGGATGCAGCACCCTGGACAACGGACAGACCAACGATACCAGCACCAAAGACGGCAACGGTGTCACCTTCTTGGACATTGGCGGTGTTGATAGCAGCACCGTAACCAGTGGTGACACCACAACCCAACAAACAGGTAACATCCTTTGGAGCCTCTGGGTTAACAGCGACAACAGAAACATCAGCGACAACGGTGTACTGGGAGAAAGTGGAACAGCCCATAAAGTGCAAGATCTCCTTACCGGTAGCCTTGTGTCTGAATCTTGAGGTACCATCTGGCATCACACCCTTACCTTGGGTAGCTCTAACGGAACCACACAAGTTGGTCTTGCCAGACTTACAGAACTTACACTCACGGCACTCGGCGGTGTAAAGGGCAATGACAGAGTCACCAACCTTCACAGAGGTGACACCTTCACCGACAGACTCAACAATACCGGCACCTTCGTGACCCAAGATGACTGGGAAGGCACCTTCTGGGTCAAGACCAGACAAGGTGTAAGCGTCAGTGTGACAAACACCGGAGTAGTCGAGTTTGATTCTAACCTCATGAGCTCTTGGTGGCAAAACCTCAATCTCCTCGATGGAGAGTGGTTTCTTTGGTTCCCAAGCGATAGCAGCTTTACAAGTGATGGTCTATTCTGGTGTTAGTTCCGAAATACAGTGGTAACTGAGCGGATTGCGCTTACTTTTCCTTCAGTAGAGGCCATTGTGTTTAGTTCTTTAGGCAATTGGTTTGATTGGAGTTCAATTCAAGCGGTTATTAATCAAGAAAAGAACGAATGAAGATCCTTTTATATAAGAAGAGGAAATTGCCCAACTGCCTGCTCCCTCAGGATGAGCGGGTTTTCTTTTCCCAAAGAGGAAAGACAATCCCGCCCACTTTCCCAGTTTCAACTCCGAGGAAAACTCTACGACAATCGGATTTCACTGATTACGAAATAAGGGAAATTTTTTCTTTCCCCTTCAGGCACCGTAGTCAGATGGGAGGATATGATTGGTCTGGTGTCTTTCCATTGTGTCTGTGCCCTTTTTAGTGTAATTAGTAAGGCAGTGGAGTCCACGAGTGCTGAGTATATACAGGTTCAGTTCCAGGATCAAATGTATGGGGTTAACGCCGATTGGTCGGAGAAGAAGAGCGCCGTTGTTGGCTGTAGAGAGTATGTATAAGCTCTGAATGCGGTTGTTAGATTTGCTAAGATGGATTAGTATTCGCCAATGTGATGACCAATGTGATGACCACTGTGCCATGTGTCTATGTTTTAGTGGGCAGCAACTGATTTTGATCTTTGCTGTGGTACAATTTTAGTCTATTGCAGCTGGAGTTGTGGTTTATTCGTAGAGATATTCCACCCTTGATGGGAACACAAGGATTCCTCTGTGCTGTGAAGCATTGTCTGATGATGATGATACTGTTCTGACCCTCGTCACCGCCTACTGATCTTCTGCTAAACACTCTCGAGACGGAAGGGAGCTTTGGAAGAGCTGTTGGAATACCAACATGTTGCTCTGTCCTGACAATTGCGTACTCTGAGCGTAAACACGAAAAGTGTATGCATTGATGATTCACGAAGGTGGTGGCCATTGCCTTTGTTGCTCAGAGTCTGGCCCAGAACTGTAAAGCTGCGACCTCGTTCCTTAGGTAGCTCTAAGAAGCCCGTATATGTGCACTTTCAGTCTTATAGTGGAGAACACGCCTATCTCTTCGATGACACGTTTGCATATTCACCAAGAATCCTTCTGGATCTGGATTACTACATGTGTCGTGGTGTGTTTTGTGGTCTCTAACCTCAGAGTCCGTGTATAGATGCGGTCATTTAGCAATTCAGTGCCTTGCAGCTTAAAAGTCTCACTCAGTTCTTCTTCATTATCAGACAGGGAGTTGAGGCATGTTAATACTACCTCCACCGTACACTGAGCCATAACCTCCAACACGGTCTCCTCTGCTAACGAGACAATTGACTATACGTTGTTGAGGATCATTGATTCATAAGTTGTTATACTGGTGTATAGAACGGTTCATCTCACGAAGACATCGTAGATGTAATAGCTGCACTACCATGCGTGGACCCTTTGCCTCGAAAGCGTGTGCCTTGGGCGAGCAAAAAAAATGCGATTTCTGTGGATTGAACACAGGCCCTCATGATCTTCAGTCATGCGCTCTCCCGACTGAGCTAAAACCGCATGCTTGATGATTAAGAACATGATCGTGTTTGTCACACAGTGTATACCATATACTCCATCCGCGCTCATAACCAGCTCTCATGCTCCTCAATCTATTGCGCTATATACACCGATTCGCCATACTCTTCTCGCTGTTCGAATCAATGAAGATAATCTGAGGCCTGTACACCAATGGCAAGCTGAGAATATTAATGGTTTACTCATACCACCAAGTCTGGAGACAACTCCCAAAGTGTGGCTACATGCCACTCCATACGTCGCTTGCCCCTCATTACTCTCTATGCTCTGTACAACACTACACCACATCCTCCAAAGAACTACAATGACCACCTGAACGTCATCAGACGTGCTCTAGCTCCTCCTTCCAAGCTCAGCACCGACGGAAGCTCCTCCAATTGGCTTTTGCCCACACATCCAAAACCAAAATGACTCAACGGATGCATCGCTTATCAAAGGCCCCCCCCCAAAAAAAAACCGAAAATCCGCACACCTTGTACGGGATTTTGTGCCAAAGGGCAACAATTTGTGTCACTGTGTACGGAGCTATTAATACGCAATAATTCGCACCATTTTCACTCCTGTTTTCTCCTTAGCAGCACGCTCTGATTGCACCCCTGCTCTCCCACTCGGCTTGAAAGCAATTGAAGAACAGAGATGCCGTTGAACAAGCTGACCATGAGTGCAACGAGAGATCACAGACGGCACAAGGATACGAAAATCGGCAAGCTGAGGACTTCGCCGAGGGGTTCAGTATCGCTTTCGGCAAGCAGCAGCAGCTGTGCCATATCCGGGGGTGGTGATAATCATAATCACAATAATAACAATTATAATTATAATAATTATAATTATAACAGCAACGATGGTACGGATAGTCCAAGCGGAGGCTCTGTGATGCCTGTGCTCCAGAGGAGTACCGGTGATGCAAAGCCTTACCGTCACAGCTTCAGCAACTTTGGGAACATTGAGACGAAGGATGCTGGCGTGTCCCACAGAGCACGGTTCAACAGACGCGTATCGAGTTTCACGTCTTCATCTTCGCCGTGGGCAAGACGCCGTTCATTCCTCTCATCGACTATGATATCGGACGAGAAGCATTTGGTGTATGAACTTCACTCTGGACGGTTCTTCAACGATGTACCGATGTACTCGATTTCGCTAAAGGAGTCCCAGGGCTTCACGTGGAATCAAGACTTGTTTGCGTCCCAGTACCAGCAACAGAGTGCAGTGCTGTATGATACTGAGGAGGACACGGATAACGAAGATGCGATAATGATGGAGGATGACGATGATGATGATGCTCATGATGATGACGATGGTGATGCTCATGTGGGTAGTTTCCGCAGATTGGCCAGCTTGTCAAGAGCCAGACGAAGCACACGTCGCTCTTATTCGTACAGTGCGAGTCAGGAACATGGTAACGTTGTACATAAGGTTAAGGTGATGGACTTTGGTGTTACAAGTGACGAAGACGACGAATGATTAGTACATATATAAACGACACTGATATGCCCCCAGATCATAAGTAGAGTCCCAGATTGTTCACGGCTTTGCCATAGCTGAGAGACTTGTCACAGTCTTGGTCAAACTTGTCGTACAAGCTAAACTTCGCTTTCAGGAACTTAGCCACTTGCACTATGGACTGCTGGTTGATCTTTTCAAATCCTGGGACTCCCTCGCTCTGTAGGATTAAGACGTAGTTATGTGGAATGTTCAGAGCCTTGGAATAGCTCAATATTGAGCCTGAAATTCCAGTAATTACGAAAGGTGGAACCAGACCAGGGAACTCCAGTGTCTCTGGAGTGTCGCCAAGTGAGCAAACAGTATCCGAATAAGGTATTTGACCCGGTGATATGCTGATGATAGGGATCTTGACCTCGTTCAAGAGTAATTGGGCAATCAAGTTATAGTTGACCTTATCGAGCCCAAACTTGGGCATCACAATGAGATTCAGCTCTGGATAAGAAACAATATCAACAGTTGCAGATACAGCCTCCTCGTACGTGACCTCACCAGAGGTTGAATAAAGCTGTTCACTTTCAATATACTCATCAGTATCCAGTCTCTGTATAAACTTCTTTCTAACGACAATTGACGCATTTACAACTGGCTTCCCATAATGCTTCAGCAATATATCGTTATATATCTTCAAGTTATCAGATACAATAACCAACGAGCCGTGTAACGTGTCCAATTGACCAACAATCTCAACCGAAGGTAAATCAACATCGGTGGTGAAGTCATCGTCCAAATCATCAATCACATGACGAGGTGTCTTTGTCTCGGTCCAAGGTTTGAACTGTTGGTGGTTTTCCGTCTATTAGTACCTTGGTCTTGATACTGGGTCCTTATTCCTTTACTTACAGCCATGTCTCACACGGATAAACTAATCAATTGAAGATATTTCACTGCGAGTATAGCTTTCTCGCCTTCTGAAACCTCTAATTTTTTTAACTGGTGCCCTTCTTTTCCCTGTTGCGAAGAAAAGATCTTCAGTTCAAGTACTCAACAGTCTCACTCAACACATCCTCATCAACAGACATCAGCAGGTTGAAATATGAGTAAAGAAGAGTTTGAAAAGACCTCTTTGGAGTTCAACAAGCTTCAAAACGATCTGTCGACGCTGTTGTCGACACGTCAACAACTGGAGACCCAGTTCCAGGAGAATGACATTGTTCGTAAAGAGTTTGAATCACTCGATGACGACGCTAAGATCTACAAACTTACTGGCCCGGTACTGCTACCACAGGACAAGGCCGAAGCTGAGATGAATGTGGACAAGAGAATCGAGTTCATCAAGAAGGAGATGTATGTATAAGCCATCTTACCATCGTGACCCATAATTACTAACAGAGTTGCCATAGTGAAAGAGCAGAGGGGTCGATCACCACCACACAGGCCAAGCTGGACCAGGCGAGGGAAAAGCTCATACAGATTCGCTCATCTCTTCAGTCATAACCGTGTATTTCATCTTCTTTTGGTTGTATATAGAACTACATATACATATGTAAAGAAATCAACCTCTTGTTGCTTGGCTCTTAATCAGGTTCAGTCCACTGTTCACCGTGTAGAACAGAAACTCTTCAACGTCATTGTAGACCTGGCCCAGATCACCGAGGTTAGAGAGTCTCTTGTCTGCGAGTTCAAAGGTGTTTGTATAGTTTGGAGACTTGTCCTGCGCCATGAAGGTCTCCAGTGCAACGTAGGTGGTGCTCAGCGAGAGTCTCTTTGAATACCAGGCGAAGTCGTTGGCACTGTCGCCAGATAGGAATCTGATATCATCACTCAGCTTGTGCAGCTCTTCCGATGCCTCACCAATGTTTGGTGGTAGCACGAGGTAGGTCTGTAACTGAGTGATGTGCTTCCCGTAAGGAACGTTACCTTCCAATCTCTTCTTCACCAGGTACTTCACTTTGGTATTCTCGTCCGATAACTGCTTAAACTCCTCGGTCTTACTGACAACCTCGGTCAATCTCAATCTCTCTCTGACCAAATGGAACTTGATCAGGTCAAAAGTGCCGTTGTGGAACAACGATTGGATGGCATCTGAGTACCCAAACGTTCTCGAGCTCTCCAGGATGGCCTTGTGCTGGAACCCATACTCGGGAACAAACTCCATCGCCTTCTCCAGAATCCGGTACTTTGGGCTCTCCTTGTTGAAGAACGGGTCCTCATCATGCTCGTACGAATGGTACGATCTAACAACCTTAGGAACAGCTCCAAGACCAATGGTTCGCATGCCAATGGCTCTCAGACCAAGGGCTCTACAGCCGGCAATTGTGCTCAACATTGTTCCAAATCAACCTGTGTATGTGAAAAGCGACCAGCCTCGGAATCACCAGTGTATACAAGCACTCAACACAGTGAAATAACACTATTTTAATAACCATGGAACGAGGAACGGGTGTGCATTGGTATACCAAAAAATGGTTCGATGAGGTTGCCGGAATTGCCTCATTGGGCAGTTTACCCCATTAGGCAGTTTTCGCGGTATCACCCGCGGGCTCGTAACCTTTCCCTTTTCGGACAGCGAAAAAACGCTAGCGTACGAAAATTTTTTATGTCATCGCAGGAGGAAGCGAAAAAAAGCTGGAAAATTTTCGTCTCTTGCAAAGGTTGAAGAGGAAGAAGAAGAAGAGGAAGAAGAATTCAAACTAGTAATTCCTGCCCATAGAGATAAAGATGTCTGCTCCAATCGACTACCTTCTCTTCGAGGAGGCTACTGGTTATGCTGTGTTCAAAGTGAAGTTGCAACAGGATAACATTGGTGCTAAGCTGAAAGAGGTTCAATCTCAAATCAGCGATTTGGGCAACTTCTCCAAGATGGTTGAGCTCGTGTCCTTTGCTCCGTTCAAAGGTGCTGCACAAGCCTTGGAGAACGCTAATGAAATCTCTGAAGGCTTGGTTTCCGACTACTTGAAGTCTGTTTTGGAGTTGAACATTCCTAAGGGGTCTGCTAAGAAGCAGATTGTCCTTGGTATATCAGACAAGAACTTGGGTCCTTCCATCAAGGAGACCTTTGGCTACATCGACGCTGTCTCCAACGAACTGGTTCAGGACTTACTCAGAGGTATCAGACAGCACGGTGACAAATTGCTCAAGGGCTTGCAAGAGGGTGATATTGAGAGAGCTCAGCTCGGTTTGGGTCATGCCTACTCTAGAGCCAAGGTGAAATTCTCTGTTCAGAAGAATGATAACCACATCATCCAGGCCATTGCGCTCCTTGATCAACTGGACAAGGACATCAACACCTTCTCAATGAGAGTTAAGGAATGGTATGGATGGCACTTCCCTGAATTGGCTAAATTGGTTCCAGACAACTACACTTTTGCCAAATTGGTTTTGTTCATCAAGGACAAGGCATCTCTTAACGATGAATCTCTTCATGAGTTGACAGCATTGCTCAACAATGACTCTGGGCTCGCTCAAACCGTCATTGACAATGCGAGAATCTCCATGGGTCAAGATATCTCTGAGCAAGATTTTGATAACTTGTTGGTGTTTGCTAAGAGAGTTGTCTCTTTGACCGATTACAGAAAATCCCTTTACAACTACCTCGAGGATAAGATGCACACCGTGGCTCCAAACTTGTCCGAGTTGATTGGTGAAGTCATCGGTGCAAGATTGATTTCCCACGCCGGTTCTTTGACAAACTTGTCCAAACAGGCTGCTTCAACTGTTCAAATCTTGGGTGCTGAAAAGGCCCTTTTCAGAGCTTTGAAGACCAAGGGTAACACTCCAAAGTATGGATTGATTTACCATTCTTCCTTCATTGGTAGAGCATCTTCAAAGAACAAAGGTAGAATCTCAAGATACTTGGCTAACAAGTGTTCCATCGCTTCAAGAATTGATAACTACTCCGATGCTCCAACCAACGTGTTTGGTCAAATTTTGAAGAAGCAGGTTGAACAGAGACTGAACTTCTACGACACTGGTGCCCCAACAATGAAGAACTCTGACGCTATCTCTGAGGCACTTGCTTTGTATAACGATTTGGACGTTGAGATGGGCGATGCCTCTGATGATGAGAAGGAGGAAGATGAGAAGAAGGAGAAGAAGGAAAAGAAGGAGAAGAAGGAAAAGAAGGAGAAGAAAGAAAAGAAGGAAAAGAAGGAAAAGAAGGAAAAGAAGGAGAAGAAGGAGAAGAAGGAGAAGAAGGAGAAGAAGAGAAAGAGTGATGATGATGAATCACCAAAGAAGAAGAAGAAATCCAAATGATCCAGCTCATTAAAGAGTGAAACCATATAAAATCTTTGTACCATTAGAGAACAAAAAAGGGTTCTTTTAGGCCCCTTTATTACTGCTATTACATACCGTCTAATCGCATTTTATCCTGTTTATTAAATACTGTAGAGAGTATTCCTCAATTACGTATACAGTGAAGAGTTTCCTTCGCTTACTCCTCCATGACCTCTTCATCGTCTTCATCTTCACTCTTCTCCCCATCACTTTCAACCTCCAGCACGGCCTCTTCATAACCTTCTTGGTACTTTCTGGCGATTCTGGAAGCTCTTCCATTCTCCTTAGCCTGTTCTCTAGCACGCTTTTGCAATTCTCTTAAGGACTCCTTGAAGCCTGTTCTAACTGCTCTGTTTGAGAACACATCAAACATCTTCAACCCCTTGTTAACACCACCAACAACAACATGTCCTGCAACCTCGATATCTGGTGCAAAGGAAGAAGTAAGTACATTACCAACACCAAAGTCTCTGGATAACACCATTGACGGACCTTTACCACTGGAGGTGGCTGTTGTTGGGATTTTCCATAACTTAATAGCCTTTTCACCCATAGCACTGGTCACAAGTAGATCTGGAATGTACGAGTTAACTTGTAAAGAGGAGATACCAGCATCATGAGCCTGTAAAGTCCACAGAGGTTTGGATTCATTTCTGATATCGAATGCATAGACGTTACCTTGGTCAGTACCTGCGACGAATTGTTCGTTTGAACTCCAACAAACGTTTTCAATCTCTTCTCCAGCACCAACGGACCAGTATTTGGACATTTCATTAACATCTGTGATTCTAACATCAGATACAGCGACACGACTATCATAACCACCGGTTAATAAGATGGCACCATCCTCCGGATGCCACTGTGAAGAAGAAACATTCTTCTTTGAGTGGATTGTATCAATAGAACGGACTGCAACGGCTTGATTCAAATCCCAAAGCTTCACGGTATGATCTGCCGATGTTGATGCCAACACATTTCTGTGAAACTTGTTATGTGCAAGAGAAAGCACTGCATCTGTGTGATGCGTAGTGACATGCTGGGACTTCTTCTTCTTCTGCTTCTTAGCCTTGATATTGTTATAAGAGTTAGAAGAAGGCTCTCCTAGGATCACATCAGGGAATGCCTTATCAATACAATCCAAGTTCCAAATCTCAATCTGTGGATCAAATGTACCGATGGCAGCAAAGTTGCCAACGTTGTCCTCTGTGTCCTTGTTTGGTCTGTAGTTTATCCACTCGACGCACAATGGGAACGCTGGAAGCATTAAGTCGTGGTGGATATAAAGAGAAGAGCCTCTTTGTAAGCCATTGGCCACATCAGGGTCCAACTTGTCCTCTTCTTCCTCATCAGCACCTTGCGGAGCACCTGCACCGTCATCGTAGACATAAACGTCCAAGTACGAGATATCATCCTCAGTTCTTGTAGCCAGCACCATGTTGTCGGTTGGGTACACTTGCGACTCCAGTTTCTCTTCGTTGACCTCCTCCTCGTTAGGTAAGGTGATGTATGGGTCTTCACCTTCTTCACCTTCGTGGAACTCAACGTCATCTCTGAGCCCTGGGAACATCGTAACAGGTTCACCATTCTCATCAACGTCATCGTCATAGTGCTCTAAATCGTACTCCTTCAAGTCATCATCCAATTCGATCTGCGTGGTCAGCTTGGCAGCCTGTACTTCCGCTTCTTCAGGCTCAACTTCACCGTCCTCCTCCAATGCTTTAATACCCTCCTGCGCATCTTCAATCTCCAGCTGTGCCAGCTTGTTGATTCTTTCCATCTCCTGATCGTCCAGCTCATATTTCTCCGGAAACTCGGAGGCAAACCCTCTTGGCACCCATGTAGTTGACGACAACATCCTCGAGCTTCAATCGTTTAACAGAAGAAAGGAACAAGTTTACTACACCTCATCGCTTTGATCGAAGAGCTGGGAGAAAAAAAATTTCATAGCGCAGTCAAATCAGGTAAGCGCAGTGCTGCCAAAAGTATTGTGGGCAAATAAGCAATTTTGTCCGTTTTGTCCCCTTTGTCAATTTTGTCCATTTTGGGTCGTTTTTTGGCCCTTTTTGTCTCTCTTTTGTCCACACGGTGAGCATCGCCTCTTCTCATAGCAAAAGGAAGCATGTCAAAGAAGTCGATTCAAGAGCTGCTTGAGAAGCTTGCTCAGGGTGTCCAGCTCGATGAGCAGCAGCAGAAGACCATGGACGATTACAAGTTCTGGAAGACGCAGCCGGTTCCGAACTTTGACGAGAAGATTGACGAGGAAGGTGTTATTGAGCAAAAGAGCGTTGATCAGATCTCTAAGGAGCCCTTGCCCCTTAGACCTGAGTTTGAGTGGGCTGATTTGGACCTGAACAAGGATGAGGACCGTGCTGAAGTGTACAAGCTGCTGTACGAGAACTACGTTGAAGATGTTGACTCTTCCTTTAGATTCAAGTACTCCACTGACTTCCTCGATTGGGCTCTGAAGCCACCTGGGTATAAGAAGGAATGGCACGTTGGTGTCAGAGTTAAAGACAGCGGACGTCTTGTTGGCTTCATCGCAGGAACACCTGCTGACCTCCGTGTGAGGGCTAACAGCGTGCACGCTGTTGAGATCAACTTCATCTGTGTGCATAAGAAGTTGAGATCAAAGAGATTGGCGCCAATCTTGATCAAAGAGGTCACTAGACGTGTTAACCTCACGGGCATCTTCCAGGCTCTCTACACAGCAGGAGTTGTGCTGCCAAGCCCTGTCTCAGTGTGCCGTTATTCTCATAGACCTCTCAATTGGAGCAAACTCCATGACGTTGGGTTCAGTTACCTACCACCTGACGTTACGAAGACCCAGATGATTGCCAAATACACATTGAGAAACGAAGGGAAAGTGAAGAACTTGAGAAGGGTGAAATTGGAGGATTTCGACCAAGTTTCGAAACTGTTCCTCAAATATCAGGACCGTTACGATTTGGTTCAAGATTTCACACCGGATGAGATCAAGCATTGGCTGTTTGGTAATTTGGAGATTGAAGATTCCAAGAAAGTGGTCCACACGTTTGTCGTTGAAGACGAAGAGGGTAAAATCACCGATTTCTTCAGTTTCTATCTCCTACCATTCACCGTGTTGAACAATGCCCAGCACGACGAGGTTGGTATCGCATACCTCTTTTACTATGCATCTGACGTTGCCTTTGAAGCAAACGCAGATTCCAACGGGGCCTTAAAGAAGAGGCTCACGGATCTGATCAACGATGCATTGATCATTGCAAAGAGACTCAACGTTGATGTCTTCAACGCATTGACATGCCAGGACAATAACCTATTCATCCAAGACTTGAAATTCGGTGCAGGTGATGGTCTGTTGAACTACTATCTGTTCAACTATAGGGCCAAGTTCATCTCGGGAGGGTTGGACGATGAGAAGAAGATTGATCCAAACAATCTGAGTAAGATTGGTGTAGTTATGCTCTAATATATGTTTCAGTT